GGGGAGGGGAGGGAGTGATTTGGGTAGGGCAAGACAGGAATAGAGAATAAATAAGAAATGGTGGGCCACTATTATAGAAAGCACTTCCGATGATTAAGGCGATGGAAATAACCAAATTTATTCTCTCGAGGGTAAAGATTTCGCAGATAAGGAAGGAGAAAAGATGGAGAACTAGCAGATGCTCACATATAAATGCGTGTGTGTGCACTCGTGCATATTCACACACATATAGACATATATACAGAGAGAGAGAAAGAGCTTTTGCATCATTGTGTCAACCATGGCCTTCAGTAACAATGAGCCCACTCCAACAGTACCAATGGACATTGCAAGAGCGGATTTGGTTGCCATGGAAGGACCTGCTCCCTACAGGATGTCAAACGAGTGGCCAAGCAGACCACACTGATGGGGTCTTCTTGAGTTTTTTTGTTCTTTATTGTTTCAATTCTTCGTTGAATAAACAAAATGGCCTCTTTTTATTGACTTTGCATGGGCAACTTATATCCAGTAAAACCAGGAAACTGTTATCCTACTTCACAGTTGAACTAGGACAGGATTGTTGCTTTATAAAAGACTTCATATATTTTCATAAATGTGTACATACATTCAACAGACAATAAAATACCTGATACAGAATGAAAGTTTGAACATATGTGTCTGGATCAATCACTGTTGGTAGATTTGATATTAGACCCTTTTTTGTTGTTTGATGCAGCTTGGAAACGACACTGAGGAACTTTTCTTGCTTAACCACGGGGGATAGTATTATGGTCGCATATAACAATAAAAAATATTACATAGACATCATTGAATCGAAGCCTTCTAATGCAATAAGTATCATTGAAACAGACTGTGAGGTGGACTTTGCTCCTCCACTTGATTACAAGGAACCGGAAAAGCCTGTTGCATCCGTTCCTACAAGCAAGGCGTCAGGAGAAGGTGTGAATTTTGTTAACTTGGCATATGTCATTTTCCTTTTCTTTCTCTTGTGTAGTCATAGTAATGTTTATGTCCTTTCTTCTTTGTGATCTCCATTTATTACAGATTTAATGGGTTTTTTGTAATGATCTCGGCGAAACTCCATACCAGTCAGAGCACTAAATAACCTCAATTACACAAGTAAAATACTTGTAAATCACCATGTTTTCAAATTTGTAAATAAGATCTTTTAGGGTAAATTCGGAATATTACAAAATTGGACTGATCGAGACAACTTAAACTTAAATACTTCNTCTTGTGTAGTCATAGTAATGTTTATGTCCTTTCTTCTTTGTGATCTCCATTTATTAAAGATTTAATGGGTTTTTTGTAATGATCTCGGCGAAACTCCATACCAGTCAGAGCACTAAATAACCTCAATTACACAAGTAAAATATTTGTAAATCACCATGTTTTAAAATTTGTAAATTAGATCTTTTAGGGTAAATTCGGAATATTACAAAATTGGACTGATCGAGACAACTTAAACTTATATACTTGAAATCTCACAATTTTTAATTTTTTTTTAGTTTTGTGATTTCTAGCTCTATCCATTTCGGCTAGCAATTGAGGAGATAACGGGGATGAACTGGAAAGCTGAATAAATCCACAATACTAGAAGAATACAAATAATCCAATACTAAATCCAACATGGATGACAAACGTCAATTTTGAGCATCCCGGATTTGAATCCGGTTGTTCGGATCTGTACCAGATTTATCGTCCTCGGTTGGGACCTTTGCAGGATTGGAGTCCCTCGCTAGGACCTATCATGGCAGACCTTAAACTGAAATTTCGGAATAATGACAGCTTTACAAAATGGAATACCTATTGGGAATAATGAAATGATAATGATACACTCTTTGCAAAGAGATTTGGGATNTCGGTTGGGACCTTTGCAGGATTGGAGTCCCTCGCTAGGACCTATCATGGCAGACCTTAAACTGAAATTTCGGAATAATGACAGCTTTACAAAATGGAATACCTATCGGGAATAATGAAATGATAATGATACACTCTTTGCAAAGAGATTTGGGAGCATAATATGAATAATCTTACTCTCCCAATCCTCAATTAACACTGATAGATATTAGATCTTGACATTAAGCTTCCAATGGCACCATAACAGAATTTCATGCCAAATAGATTAGTTATCACCACACTGTCACCTTTTAGAGCTCACGGCTTCTCTTTAAACTTTCCTCGTTATTTTCCTTTTTGTTTGTTTCCATTTCCTTTTGTTTATTTGATTACACGAGCCGTATATATTGCTCACTGTCACTTCTGGTAGAAGGCACTTCACCTATTCACGCGAATACGCCATACAACCCCCATTAATGAACACATCCTCTTTTTTATTTTCTTTTTTCTTGTTTATTTCTTTTCCTTTATCTACCCACTTACCACTTTTATACCCATTAAACATATGCTTTCTTTTATTTCCTTTCCACAGTACATTCCAGCATACACATTTGATGGACATGAGTCTTCTTTTGTTTATTAGTTTAATCTTTCAACTTTTTACTATTAATAGAATAGTAATGAAAATGAGCAAACAGTTCAATGTAACACTTTCGAGTTATTCATTACATATATCTTAATGAACTCTTATCTATAATGGTATTTTGATAATTATTCAAATCTCATATTTCCAATAATTCTAATTTGACCTCTATAACAGCTAGTCGTCTTTCATTTATTTATTTTTCTTTGTGGGGTATTACATTTTTAGTCCCAACATAAGATTCTATTACAAATTTTGTAAGTTGATGATTCCATGATACTTCTTAGTGCGTGTGCAAAAGTGTCTTTCTCCATTTGTAGGAGCTCTATCAATTGTATCTCTTTTTGTGGTAACCATGTCAAGATAATTTTTTTTTCACCCGTAAGATCAATTGTTGAACTCTTTATGTTGTGGCATGTGATGCACGGATGTTCATCCATTTTGTTTGGTTGGGTTGAAACTTGAAAGCATTATCCATGAGTTAAACACCAATATTTTTTGTAAGCTTCTTATTTTTTTGTATGAGGATTGAAAATTCCATATGATCTTAAAATGATTAGAAGTGCACTTTATATGCTTTGATGGAAAGTTCAGTACTGAAGAAGTTTAATCTATTCCATTTGTAGTAGACAAAGCGAAAAATTTGTGAACTGTCCAGTCAGCTTTGTTGGCTACCAAATTTCTTTTAAGCTCATCTTATTCCTTGAGCAATTTAGGAGTAATTTTATGTATGGTGTCAGCTGCCAATCTCAACGGTTTTCAGTAGGCACTCTGAAACACAAACCTGTATATGCTTTTTAAGGCCCATCTAGCTTCCTGCTTCGTTGGTAGCTCTATAGATTGCATTTTCAGTTTGGAAAAAGCCTAAAGCATTCTTATAGATTGTTGGGTCATTTATGTATCTATTTTTATATATTGGGAATCAAAATTTTGACCAATAATCTACGCTTCAGNAAAAAAAAAAAAAAAAGGGAAAAATGTTTTTTGTTTCTACATGAAGAAATTTTTTTTCTATATTTTGTTATTATTTGGTTCCTTAATGAGTGGCGTAGGGTTGGCAAAAGGAGCTGGGGAATCCTAGGTTGAGCCTGTTGATGCCTCTTATACTTTGTGGCTACAAAGAGGCTCTTGTTGAACATTATTTTTGACCTCTCTCTCTCTCTCTCTCTCTCTCACACACACACACACACAGACATTTGTGCCTGTTTTAATTTTGTCTGAGATATAGCTGGGCACCTTGGGCTTGGTGTTGTTCATTGCTGTACTGGCCAAGTAGTTGCTCCAACGGTTTTTTGATTGTAATTGTCACTGCAATTTGGGCGGTGATGTTGCATCGTGCCTAGCCGAACTGCAACACCTCCCCCCCGGCTAATCACGGGAGAGTGCAAAACTTAAGCGTATATTTTGTGGCTAGGATTGCCTGCACGTTTACCCGTCAATATGCCAACCGCTCGCCCCCTACTCTGATATAATTATTTTTTATTTCTTTTCCTGTTGCACTTCACTTAGCCCTATAAATTTCCACTCCCTGACCACCAGTGATATATCTGCCTTTTTGCACATAGATATTCAACTTGAACCCCTCTCTCTCTCTCTCTCTCTCTCTCTCTCTCTCAACCGCATGCTTCTACTCGGGCTTGACGCCGCACCCACCCGATTGCACCAATGGGGCTAAAATGTTTATGTGACATGTTTAGGGGTGTTTATGTGTCAGGTTGGTCCATGGTCCAAAAATAGGCCTAAAGCCAAAAAAATAAGCCCAAAGTCTGACAGTTAGTCTGTTTGAGTTTGGGCTTGAGTTCAAGCNTGGGAGACGCTTGGATGGAAAACCTTTGAATTACCAGCCTCCACCAGTTTCCTTCTCTGGGTCTAAAGGCACACAGCCTTATGTTTCCAATGGTGGTCGCCAGCCTTCTGCAGGGTCTAGTTCACAAAGTACCACTAGTCGATCTCAGGGAAAGCTTGTGTTTGGCCCAAATGTAAACCGCTCTCAGGAAACACAAAAGGTATTTTTTTTCCCATATTCCAATATGCAAACACCGACTTCCTGAAGATTAAGCCTCTAGGGATATATCTTAGCTTGTGGTTCTTTCTTTCTCCTGCAGGAAGCTGCAAAAGAGAATAAACAAGAGCAGCAGCCGCAACAGAAGGAAGAGCCAAAGTTCCAACCTTTTACTGGGAAAAAATACTCATTAAAGGGGTGATTATATGGTAATGATACCCTATACTTATCTTGCTCTCCACCTGTGCTGCTGTAGGACAGAAATCACACTTATTGACTAGAGGAGTTGTATCATATTTTAAAAAAAAAAAAAAAAGGGAAAAATGTTTTTTGTTTCTACATGAAGAAATTTTTTTTCTATATTTTGTTATTATTTGGTTCCTTAATGAGTGGCGTAGGGTTGGCAAAAGGAGCTGGGGAATCCTAGGTTGAGCCTGTTGATGCCTCTTATACTTTGTGGCTACAAAGAGGCTCTTGTTGAACATTATTTCTGACCTCTCTCTCTCTCTCTCTCTCTCTCACACACACACACAGACATTTGTGCCTGTTTTAGTTTTGTCTGAGATATAGCTGGGCACCTTGGGCTTGGTGCTGTTCATTGCTGTACTGGCCAAGTAGTTGCTCCAACAGTTTTTTGATTGTAATTGTCACTGCAATTTGGGCGGTGATGTTGCATCGTGCCTAGCCGAACTGCAACACCTCCCCCCGGCTAATCACGGGAGAGTGCAAAACTTAAGCGTATATTTTGTGGCTAGGATTGCCTGCACGTTTACCCGTCAATATGCCAACCGCTCGCCCCCTACTCTGATATAATTATTTTTTATTTCTTTTCCTGTTGCACTTCACTTAGCCCTATAAATTTCCACTCCCTGACCACCAGTGATATATCTGCCTTTTTGCACATAGATATTCAACTTGATCACCTCTCTCTCTCTCTCTCTCTCTCTCTCTCTCTCTCAACCGCATGCTTCTACTCGGGCTTGACGCCGCACCCACCCGATTGCACCAATGGGGCTAAAATGTTTATGTGACATGTTTAGGGGTGTTTATGTGTCAGGTTGGTCCATGGTCCAAAAATAGGCCTAAAGCCAAAAAAATAAGCCCATAGTCTGACAGTTGGTCTGTTTGAGTTTGGGCTTGAGTTTAAGTCCAATATCTTTAAAGGAAAGAGAGGGTCTAGACTTACCCTCAAAAATCATTACCCAGCCCAAAATTTGGCTCATACAAAACCCTTTTACCCTTCCACCTAATTGTCAATTTTTAATATTCTAATTGATATTTTACTAGATATGTGGATAGGTGTTTAATTTAGTTAGAATGTGCTCTAATATAATTCTTTCCTTATTTATTATTTATTTTTTGTTCATTTTAATTACTTTTAATTGAAAAATATAATTTATATAAATATCAAGTTAAATAAGGCATCCCACAAGTCCATCCAATTGGCCTGGCCTGCCCAATGAGTGGTAGGTTGAGCTGTGGGCAAATTGTCACCCAGTTGAAGCCCAATAACTTATCCAGAAAAAGACTTAGGCCTACACTATCTAGGCCCAGCCTAGCCCAGGCTGCAAATTTTTTTTCAGACCTAACCCATCCCGGCCCATATACACCCCTAGACTTGTTAGAAGCATCTTGCTTTTCTGATTCTGTTTGATAAATATTCTGATTTGTTATCCATCTCCCCATGTACATCGTCAAATACAGGACTTGGGAGATGTCAGCAGAACAAATATCCAAATCACGAGTTCAGAGAGAACTTGATGGGAAAACCTGTTATGTGCCTGTCAGGCCATAGCTTGTGTCAAAATACCATTCCACGATGAGATCTCTCAGAGTACCTTCCAAGGTATTATTACTTTCCGACATTTAAGCAAAAGATCACAGCGAGTCCAGAAAATGAGAAAATACACACACACACACAAAACAACGACCTAAAACTTAACATGACAAACTATGCCACAGCTCCCATGTTTAGAGCATGTTTCAGTTCTCAGCATGCTTTCTTTCCTCCTAAACACTTTCCCCCGGTAATGTATTTCTTTCTGTGCCTTTTTAAGTTTAGAGAACTGTTCTCTATACCGAAAGAATAAAGAATGAACAGATTTATATTGTACTTCAACTTCTCAGGATAGAATGGATTCTAACGCATCTTTCACACAAGGGTATTTGAAGGGGAACCCCAATTCCTTAGCTTTAGCTGGAAGCACCCTTTGTCCTTCCAACACCTGCAGTAACCTCGCTTAGTGCATTGCAGCAAAGTAATAAGAGGGGGAAGGGGAAAATTCACGAGTGAAATAAAATCCCTACCACAGAAGCACCGCCACCAAGGATTGCTTTGAGTACAAAGTCAGGTACTGGTAGCCATGAGGGCCGGCCCAAAACAGTTCCCAATTGTTTGCACATCTCCTCTAGCCGAACAGGATTTGGTGCAGTTCCATTAATAACTCCTAACATTTAGAATTGCTGAGACTCAAATCCAAATATCAACACATCCTAAAACCACTGCCAATGGCCACAAAAAGAATATAAATGCCCGACAAGACGACAAGCACTTGCCCCTTGAACAGGTACCTTAAGATGGGATGCATAAAATTATCATTTGTTGAAGAAATTAGAAAGACCAACATTTGCAGGGGAAAATAAATGGAAACCGCAATCTTAAAGAACCATTTCACAGAAATCTCAGTACAGCTGTAGTTAGGAGAGAGAGGGTGCAGTACATTTAGATACAAGCGGACTTGAAATCAAGCTAGGGATTTAATTTCATCAACAAGCATATGATTCAGGTATTTATGTTTCTGAATCACATAGGGACAAATATATAAAAAAAAATGACATCTTACCTTTATAAGAAGGGTTGCATAAAACTTCATATATTAGATTGACCATATCGTCCACATGAATCCAGGAAAACCTATGCAACCAAACCAACAATGAGTTCTATAGGATTACGAAGGAGAAATATAACTGAGGACCATGATTTACCATGATTCAAACAATCTAATACGAATGCTACAACATCCTCACGACATTCTTAAAATTAGGAAGAGAAAACTCAGCGAACAAGAGAATTTAACCCTATGGTTAGCATTTTGGAGGAGATTTGTCTTTCTCTTTGGTCAAAAGTTCCAGCAATTTTTGCTTTCAAATTGATAATTAAATGCTTTTCTAGTAGTGTATGTGGTAAATTCTCATGAGAGAGCTGAAATATGCAATACCATTGTTTTCCTGAGCCCAAAGGTCCACCAGCAAACATCATGAAGAGAGGGACCATTTTAGCTGCAAACGCCAAAGAGGTTAGAAGCATGTTTTACATCAAAATCAATGGAGTTTAAACAAAAGAGCCAGAGAAAAGTAAACATGCAGGAAAAAAGGCATCTAACCAACTGTAGTAGCATAAACTCCACTTAACTAACCTCATTCCATTTAGTTGGGGATGACAACATGAATCCTATTTGGCCATTGTGATCTATCTAGGTTGTATTCTTTCTTAACCAGAAGCTACAATATCTTTCTTTATTACTGCGCTCCACGTTATTTTTGTTCTTCTCCTTCCGATTGCCAACTTAACTAAATAAGAGAGACAGACAAACAATATTTCACAGTTCATTTCCTTTGGAGTACATTCAGAGGCCACAAAAGTTTGACTAAATCTGCCTATGGATTCCTCAAGCTTTTTGATCTAAAGTCTAAACATAAAATTTTCCTCATAAACCATAATTAAGAAAGTCAAGTATGAAAAGCATACAAATCAAATTCAGGATGTTAATATTGTACCTAAAGCACCACCATCTTTTCCAAGGACAACACCTATGCGAATAAGCGCTAATCTAACATCCTTATTCACTCTGAGGGCTGTTGCCTCCCATTCTCTACAAACCTGAGAAGGCATACTTGTCAATACAGTGCAACACAAATAAAAATGTTCCATACAGAACATGATGAAACTCGGAATTAGATGTGGATTCATCGGGAGTGCAAATCTTATATATACCCTGTGAGGAATTGTATTAGTTCGCTGAACTAAAATGTTCACTTCATTTACCTCAGCCAAGTAATCATTTCCAGATGGACTTTGCTCATCAAATACTTCTGTTTCACTGGAACCTGAGCAATGAGGGGTGAATGGAGGGAAAGGAAAACAGAACATGTTATCATAGAAAAGCCAAAGGTTCTTGGATCTCACTTCAATGTAGCAGCATATCAATTGTCTTAAAAAGATAGCTTAGCACTAGAAAACAGAATTGGACTACATGGCTGAACAATAGGGTCTTAAAAAAAGAATAAGCATGCTGCCACTGATATAGGTGGGCATTATTATGATTAAAGATTGTATTTATAAATTGAAAGCTATAGACGCAACGGAATGACATTACAACTTGCCTAAAAGTCATGATATACGACATAAGTAGGAAATGTGTTTAGGCGCATACCATAATAACCAACTGCTGTTGCGCTAACCAAAACTCTTGGCCGAAGTTCATCTGGTGAGCCATTTATTAAATCTACGACCTTTGGAATCATGACAATAGTGAACTTTTGAAAACTTAAAGAGATTTAGATTGATTCTTCACAGTTTGCAAACATTGGTTAAGAAAATGAAAAAGGTGACCTTTGAGGTGACTCTAATCCTGCTTGTCTTGATCTCTTTCTTGATCTGCAGGATTTCACAAATTATCAAAATATATATCAGGTTTTTGGAAGAGATTATTGTCATCTCCTAGTAAAAGCCCCCAATGTTTTCAACTCACTGTAATGCACTTGAACTAATTGATGTAGATGAATAGCATATATTTCAACAATATAAAAGTAACTGTAAAGTTATATAAATTTTGAACTATAGACCATGGACCACAAATTCAGGAAAAGAAACACTCCCTAAATTTGCTAAAATAAGGAACAAAGTTTATGCCTTCACACACTTTTTCTTTAAAGTGAATATATGTCATTAAATTTTCTTCAATAGAAAGCATAAGAAAAGCCACATAAGGAAATATCCAGCCCAATGCATGTCATTTTTTGACCCACAAACAAGACACTTCTAATTTTAAGATAAAACCAATTTACAAACTGAAATTAGTAGAAATAACAAGTGTACCAAGCATGTTTTTCAAATGATAAATTTTAAATGCACTCTTACAAATGCAATTCATTCTATGTGGTTTAGACTTTAAAATAGCACTTTCATCACCATACTTGAAAAACCAATTTATTATGTGTTTTAGAATGTCAAGCAGTCCTAAACAATAATGATAACCATAAAATAACACTGCTCGAGTTTTATTCGAGAAAACTGCAGAAATCCCTATACAGAACAAGACAAATTCTGAAGCAGACCATATAATGATGCACTCTGGAAAAAACATTGCATTTATGGCTCCCATATATGTATTATATAGATGTAACTTTAAACATAAAGTTAAAGAGCAAAAACTAGCTGGTATATTAAGCTCATAACACACCTCAGGAGACCATCTAGTACTAATGGGCATTCCAGCCAAATTCACGACTGCAGTTGAGCATTGAATACAGTCTTTCCACTCTGGCTCCTCTGCAATTACAATTCTTGGAAAGTCCTTGACTACAAATGATAAGCATGCAAGAAAAAAGGAGTACACAGAATTTAGCAAAAAATTGTTGACAGTGAAGTAGAAAATTATTTTCATTCTTGTGTTGTCATGAAGATGAGAACTGAAAATTTTTAACAAATTTGTACATGATGGCACTTGAGCTGTGTAAATTACAAGAATAATGAGTTGAAGGAAGGGTATAATGTCAGACACTGCTCCATCAATACTTTCAGAATTTTGACCACATGTATGAATGTATGCACATAACTGAAGTAATCATTACCTTCTTACCCGGAAAAATTGACTGAGCTTTAGATCTTGATCGCGTCAAGACTCGAATGCCATGGTTATCTACATTTCATAAGCAACCCAAAAAAAAACATTAGATCCATCCACACCATCCAGAATTTTAAATATGTATAACATGTTCGACTAAGCTCCCGAAGGTAATCTGTCCGACCTGTAGTTCTTTGGTGTCAATTGAACTAAAATATAAAATTAGGTACTTCCAATCACACTGACATACCCCTGCTATCACAAATACCAATGTGCAACAGATATCATATCCAGAGTTGCATGATCAAGAACACAATACTCTATGCTTCTTAATTTGTAGCAGATGAAGTTACATACCGGCATGCAGCCTTTGCACCAATCTTCTACCTATAAAACCTGTTGCTCCTGTGACCGAAACAGTCATTTGATTTCCCTGCAACAAACTGTAAAGTATAAACTCCAGGAAACCAAAATTATTCTATATATGTTGTTCAAACAATAATCTATGTGATTCCAAATCTGATTGCCATGGAAGGCAATCTTGTTGACACCATAAGTGTGGGGCCTGGATGTCCACTCTACATATATTGGCCCGACAGATTGTCACCTCAGTTATGGGCCATCTNAAATCTGATTGCCATGGAAGGCAATCTTGTTGACACCATAAGTGTGGGGCCTGGATGCCCACTCTACATATATTGGCCCGACAGATTGTCACCTCAGTTATGGGCCATCACCAAAAGCATAGTAAATGGCTTCAATATAGATCTATCCTGTTCAGGAGAGGGAAGTAAAGTTTTGGATATCTTTGATGAGCTGAAATAGCAATGCGCAGTTCTACAAATTGTCCGTTATGTTTCACTATGGTCCTCCTTGGCAACAAAGAAGGCAAAAACAGTGTAAAGAGGGTAACAGGGCCAGCATAAATAACGTTAACATTCCATATCATGCAAATTACAAAGCTTGGGTTAGTGAAGTTGATAGAGTTCTGCCACTGATCAACCATCCAAGTTTGATCCACAGTAGCATAGTGTTTATGAGACCTAGCAAATCAACGTAGATCCAAACAATAAAATATTCAATTATGCTTCAGCAGTCATACAGACACCCTAATATTAGTAGTATGCATCAATGATCAAACTGCATGGGCGGCACCAATGACAGCATTCAGAAATTTCACATGCAAAAAAGGTTAAAATGTTTCCCTACAAAATTCTGGTGGCTAATTCAAGTCAAACACAGACTTCGCTATTGGCGTAACTCCAGAAAAGTAGCAACCAGCATAAGCAAAGACATCCACATCCAAATGACTTCTGCACAGTAAATTACAACAACAAATCAAACAGCATGTTGTTCGTTCACTACCTCTTAGTGGAGAGGAGTTTGCAACAGTCTATGCGTGGAAATGATCCCTAAAGGATGTTATGCCAATATTATACTTATACAATTCAGCAATGCCAAATTGTGACTTCTGGCGGATAAATTTAGACCTTTCTTTCATCATTTTTGAGTGAAGAGCTGAGTCAATTTCCAAAATAGCACATGAACTTCTCCCAAACCTGTATTAGTACCACGACCAACTTTTCTCAATCTAGAATTTCCAATTTCTCAACTAATCTTAATCCAATTCTATATCACAACTGTCTAGAGAATTCAGACTGTTTTTATATATTCACGAATGTTCTACATGTCTCAGACAATGAATTGTGCTAATTGCAATAGGATACTGTGAAGTATATTAGGTTAAACACATAAATACACACAAGCGTAACGGCGTAATTGCCAATCATACACGAAAAAACCTTGTAAAAAGAGATGTTGCAAAGAGTATTATTACCTTCTCAGACTGAGCAGAGTCGATGTCGTTGAGACAACAAACCCTAAACCTCCGCACCTCACGCCTCTGAAATTGCAAACAGATTGGCAGTTCATAAAGGATATAGAATTAAATACACAATCAAATATACGCATATACATACAGCCGTATATGAGGAGAGAGAGAGACTCACAGGGAATGGTGGAGGGAAATGAAGAGAGGTATAGAGTGAATTTGTCCAGGCTAAGGTCGTAGCTCCGCAGAACTCCATGACTCTTAACAAAAATTGCAATTCAATTTCTGGAGATAGCAAAAGAAAGCACAGACTGCTGCTTTATCGCCACCTCGTGAGCGTGGTTGATTTGGAGCCCCCTGGGCCAAAAAAAATCTTATCCACCACTTGTCTTGGCCCTCCAATTTATTATATTTCTTAATTTCCCCCCAAAGAATTTTTAATTACACTATTATGGCTATAGGATTAGGGGTGCAACTTGGGCGGGTCAACCCGAATTCAACCCAAGCCTAAGCCCAATAAAAAGAGCTTGGGTTATAATTTTTAATACTTAGGTTGGGCATGGAAAAAAAAACCCCAACTCGAATTGAATTCAGGTAAGCCTCGAATTGAGGTCTCAAGTTGTCGGGTTCAACCCGAATATACATAAATATATAAATATATTTAACTAGGGTTAGTATTTATCTTCACTCTTCAAAATCTAAACTTTCACTTTATTTCAAGTCCTCACCCCCGCCTCCATCACTTTCAAATCCATCCCTCACTCANCTAGGGTTAGTATTTATCTTCACTCTTCAAAATCTAAACTTTCACTTTATTTCAAGTTCTCACCCCCGCCTCCATCACTTTCAAATCCATCCCTCACTCATCATTCGTTTCTCATCTAGTCTCAAACTCTCAGCTTTCCTCTTTCACTTGTCTAAGTCTTTTTTTTATTAACCCGAATTAAGTAACCCGAGCTCAACTCGATTTTTAACCTGAAATTAAATAGAATTAAATAATTCGAATTCAACCTGAACTCGTCTGAATTAAACTCAAGCAATACTCGGATTGAATACTTCAGGTTGAGATCGGATTAAAATTAGTGTTAAGGTTGAAGATTATATATCTAGAATTGAACTATGATTGACCTTTCAACCCACCCAACTTGCGCTGAGTTGCACCCCTATATGGGATGATACAATTATTTCAAGTATAGTAAAACCNTGAATACTTCAGGTTGAGATCGGATTAAAATTAGTGTTAAGGTTGAAGATTATATATTTAGAATTGAACTATGATTGACCTTTCAACCCACCCAACTTGTGCTGAGTTGCACCCCTATATGGGATGATACAATTATTTCAGGTATAGTAAAACCCATGCAACCTAGTCANATTCGAATTCAACCTGAACTCGTCTGAATTAAACTCAAGCAATACTCGGATTGAATACTTCAGGTTGAGATCGGATTAAAATTAGTGTTAAGGTTGAAGATTATATATTTAGAATTGAACTATGATTGACCTTTCAACCCACCCAACTTGCGCTGAGTTGCACCCCTATATGGGATGATACAATTATTTCAAGTATAGTAAAACCTTTGAACCAATTTTATGACTTCAACTATTATTGTCGTTATATTAGCAATAATCCTAACACTAAGCAAAATTTGTTTTTAATTTAACAATCTTTATAAATTATGTTAGCAGGTTAAATTAGATAAAGATGTCCAAACAACCTTTTTTTTCATACTTGGTGTAATTTGGAATGAGGTGATTCCATATCAATCCTCAATTTAATTTCTACATTAGTCAATAAGAAAATGTCACTCATACGGTGGATAAATAGAAATAAGAGACCATGGGGAAGTGATTTTTAGGGTTCAAATCCTATCATCACATAAATAGTATTTTTATTTTAGAGGAAAACATAGAAAAAAACACAACTAATATTTATAGATTACTTAAAGATTAACCAACTAAAATTTCAAAGATTTTTGTGTTTTGATAAACAAATTTTACAAACGAGTATAATGAGTGCAAGACAAACAACGAAGCAATAGTAAGTAATGAAAAAATAGTGGAAAAAACATATGGATTATCAAATTTAAAGAAAAGTATTTGGAAAATGAACTTGGGTAATATTATTAAACTCAAGAAATGAGGGGGGAGAAGAGAATTCGTAAACTTATTGGGCTATAGTTGAAAATAACAGAAGTAAGTGGATACCTTTACAAATAACACCAAAGGGAGATCTATAACGCAAATAAAAATTAAATAGCAATCACACAACTATCAAAAAAATTCATACAGTTCAGTGTGTTCTTCTTGGAGCTTCGCGTGTCAGTGCTCTAGGGTTTGACGGTGGGAGGATAGAGAAATGGCGATGATACAGTGGTGCGGCGCTGCAGCGAGGAGAGTGATGGTGTCGACTGAGCAACGAATGGCGATTTCATCTCTATCGTCATCATGTACAGTGGCGGAGGCGCCGATCCTGTGCGGCCGAGGGGACAAGAAGACGAGAAAGGGGAAGAGATTTAAAGGGTCGTACGGAAACGCAAGACCCAAAAAGGAGAAGAAGATAGAGCGGATCAAGGACAAGGTTGAAGTCCCCAGGTCCACTCCTTGGCCTCTCCCTTTCAAACTCATCTGAATTTTCATTTTCCATCATAGCATAGAATCTTCTCTTTTGTAATATCACCAATATTGTTAGTTCTGAACATTTTTGTAGTTCTCTCTTTGATTTGTGATCAGAACTTGTACATTGCTCAATGAATCTAGAATCAACCCTCCCTCCCATATGGTTATTTTGTTATGGGGTTTCTCTTGGAAATACGACTCGCCAAGAACATTCTGAATCTCGGGTTGGGATAGAAATGGGTATTTAGTTGATTGGGAGCGGTGCTCATGTCTTGTAATAATGAATTTAGAAGCAAACGTTGACAGAGCTTAGGGACAAAGGGGCTGTAATATATGAGAAAGGATAGAACATATAATACAGAAATAGGGGAATTCAAAAGGTTGGGTCACTAAGATCAACTTTTACCAAATAGGAGTTGGAGCTGTGAAGCCCTTCCTTAAGCTAAGGCGCAGGTTTGGAACCCTATACAAGGTTCAGGTTGTGTTTTTTCCCTTTATAGCGGTTTCTGTCATTTTCACATGTAGGAAATCTTATTCCCCTAGCTCTATTTCTGCCAACGAATGCTAGAATTGGGGATCTGCAAGTGTATATCTCCGAGTGGCGAGTCCTTGGGTCAGTACTCCCTTTGAAACTCATATGAATTTTCAGTTTTTATCAAATCATAGTGTCCTTGAGCTTAGGGACAAAGGGGCTGTAATGTATGAGAGAGGATATGAACCTAATATAGATATATATGAGTTCAAAATGTTGGGTCACTAAGATCAACTTTCAGCTACTAGAACCTAATTTTGAGGATATATGGGTGTGTATTTTCGAACGGCCGGTAATTTTGTCTCTACTTTTTGTGATTTGATCTACACATAATTAGTGCTTTTGCTCCATTGGAACAAGCCTGAGCTTGTGGCTTTATTGCATTAGGCGATTATTCAAACTTGATTCTACTCAATAAAGCCTTGTTTCCTTATTACCTGGATTTGGCTTCATAGTTATGCAATTCTGTTCCACGTAGGGGTGTATTGTTGATTACGGTTGACTTCTTAATTCTTATTGATCCACTCTTTAGTCTTTACTCTTCTACTTTTGATGCTTTTGCCCGAATCAAATTCTTTCTCTTTATTGATCCACTTTGATACAATTGTCTTCAGTTGCTTATGATGATTTTATCCTTTTATAGTGCCGCTTTTGGCTTCCATGACTGATGTCTTTTGCTTAATGAATATGTTTTTCAATTTGTCTACTGCTTTAATAGCAAGCAAAAACTATTAGCAACGTGGATTAATCCTCCTATCAGCCTCCTAGCAACAAACTTAAATACAATAATCACTGAGATAAATCAAATAAGATCGTTATCATTTGTGTTACTAAAATGATAAATACATGTTTCTGTCTTCTTCTGCTGCTGCTGCTACTACATGCTGCCCAACAAGTTTCGTGCCAAGTCTGCAACTACAGCAAGCCCAATGATAAAATATATCATACCAAAGGCAATAGTGACTACTCCAATCGAGTAGGCTAGCTGTATATATTTGCCTTCTGGGCTTGGTTCAATTGCTAGCCTGAGTCCAGCGTAAATGGCCCAGAGAAGCATGAACAGTGAGATTGTTGTTGCAATCATATGGCCAATATCTTCAGCAGTTGTCTTCTTCTCCCTTCCTGCTTCATCATTCCTCTTAAGTCAAATTTTTGGAAAAGGTAAATATACGACAACAGTGTCCCAGATTGCAATTTAATAAAGTAGTATATTATATGCTCACATTGTTTCTTTTTTTATGTCTTTCTTTTGATATGATCTTCTGCACTTATTTTGAAATTATATCAATTGCTTCAAATGACTGGATGTGGAATTGTATGAATTTTAGAGAATTTGTGTAGAAGGTGCTCATTCTTTGAAGTCATGTTTTGATTTTGTGTTAGCAGTGTTCAGATCTATGTTGAGGCCCAAAACAATGTGATTGAGATTGTCTGAAATAAACTGTAGAGATTTCATTGTTTTCACTAGTTGACATGGATTTACAAGGATTATAGAATTGATCTCGGTTCACACCAACTTCAAAGATCAACATTACCACTCCCAGGCGGTCTGTTTACATTTTGGTCAGAAATTTTGGTATCAGGTCTGTTATAGTTCTACTTTGGTGCTGGTGTTTTTGCATGGAAAATAGATTTTTTTCCCCTGATCGAGTTTTTTTAAGGGAGGGTGGGGGGTGTCGTGGGGGAGGGAGCGTCAGAAATAGGTAGAAAGAAAATGAAAGGTACCAAATACAAGCCTGCACACATAAACATAACAAATGCCCTTGCTATTGTGTGGGATCAAGAGGTTGCAATGGTAAGCAACAAAACTAAATTAGGTTAACCCGAAAGTCGTTTTGGGTCCTAATATATTAGGGTGGAATTGTACTGGAAAAAAAGGGTTCCATATATGTGATGCTAGTGGCAAAAAGATCTTTCATCTGTCCTAACCTGTAAGATAGGTTTATAGGTTTTGGCATGTAATAGAATGTCCTAAGTTCCATTGGAAGAGCAGTAAGCAACCTGCTAGCTTAGCCGGTGTGAAGTCTTTTCTCCCTGGAAATAGGAAGGACGCAATCCTAGGTTGTGTAGCTTCAATAAGTGGAACTACCAGGTAATAGTAAATCATAATGAAGAAGCTTTTATTACCCGTATGGGAACAAGAAGAGAGGGAATCAAATTGAGTGTGGAAAGGGGGTTTAGGGTTTACTGCTTAGTTCAAGTGGGGAAAATTAGCTTGAATGGCATCCTCCTTTCCCTTATGTTTCCTCTTTTATTGTAACAGTACAGTGTTTGAAAAAGCAGAGGGATATAGAAGAAACAACACGAGCCATTAGCATAGTGCTGGTACCTTGTTGCTGAGTACCACATTTTTTGTCCTCTTCCTGCTGCAATTTTCCCAACAAGTCTAACACCAGGTCTGCCACTATTGCGACGCCAAGGATCACNCTGGTACCTTGTTGCTGAGTACCACATTTTTTGTCCTCTTCCTGCTGCAATTTTCCCGACAAGTCTAACACCAGGTCTGCCACTATTGCGACGCCAAGGATACAATATGTGACCCCTAAGACAATGGTGGCCAGTCCGATGAAGAAAGCGAAGCCGTTGTAGCTACTATCTCTTCTGGGTTTGCTTGCAAGTGTGATTCCGCTGTGGATGGTCCATAGGAGCATGATCATTGTGATTAGAGACGCGACTATACATGCAATTTCCCTTTGGATTACATTGGGTGTGTTTCCCAATTCATCGTCCATCTTTCGGCTAGAACACATCAAGAATGCAGTTGAGAGAGCCTAAAGAAAAAGCAAATTATAGGGAATGAAGGATTAAGACATGCATCATGTACACGTCGGACTGTATTAGAGTCACATCTTATTCATTTTATGATGTTTAATTTTGTAATTATGGTTTGAATAACCGGAATTTTCTAGTTCTATCAATTGCTGCATTAATGAGATAGGAACCAAATGTCCCCCTCACCTATTTGTTAAGACCCTTATCAAAGGAGTTGTATTCTTAACTTACATGATGCTCTTGTGAGTATTTTGTGTGTGTGTGTGTGTGTGTGTGAGAGGGAGGGCTCTTAATCAAGTCGAGTTATTCGAGTTTGGTTCAGGTTCATCTCGTTTAGGTGAAAACAAAATAAATTTGAATAATTTTTTACGTTCATTTAGAAAACGAGCTCGATAGATTTGACTCCTTTATGTGTAAATATTCAGATTTAGCTTAGGTTTTGGTCATTTTGGGCACATTCAAGCTAGAAAACGAACAAAACTTAAAATAAATTTTTAGGCTCAGGTAAGAAAACGAGTTTTTTAGGCTTGATTTTGTTTTCATTTAAACACAAAATACAAATTAATTAAATTATTCATTCTCATAATCGATCCGCAATAAAAATTAATTAATATCAAAAAAAAATTCAATAAAGTTATTAGAGAAAATAAAATACAATAAAACAATAGGTGAATGTTGCATACATAAATAAATTAAGAATCATAAAAAAAATTTAAAATAATTCAATAACAAGATAACAAGAAATTATCAATGCATATTAATAGTTGATAATGTAATACCGCAATTTTCATAAAAAAAAAATATGAATGCATACAAAATAAATAAGAAGAACATAAAAATAATAATAAAATAATATATTATATTTCAAAAAGTGCGATTTAAGTAAAAGATGAGAGAAACAGATGTGAGAATTTGTTTACTAAAAAAAATGTACTTAGTCGTGATGATTTATGTATATTTACAATTCTTATGGATTGTACTATTGAACAGTTGCACTCAGATAATATATGTATGAAATAACACGTGTAATGTTTAATATATATTAAATGCCTAAATTACTAAAAAAAAATAATTATGTGACACCATGTTATAATATTGAGTATCTTTACTATGATCATACCTTGTAATCCATACATTATTTTTGACAAATTTAAAAAATGCATAAAATATGGAGTAACACATATATTACCTTTGATCTTTGCGTGTCATCCATTAATCAATTTGTCTCCCTTAATTGATTCTATGGATGGAGACTCGATAATAAGGAACAAGCAGATATTACAATTGTTGCAATATACGCAAACACTTTTATCATTTGAATGGAATGAGGCATAGCAGGGCTGACGTTTGAACTCGACCATTAAAATAGTTGTCCAGAATCCCAAAAATATAGGGCCCTAATTTAATTTTTAACTCTTAATTCAAATTCATATTTCACAAGTCTATCTAAAGATTTATAGAAAATTTTAAAAATATAACAATATTTTTACAAGTTTATGTAAAACATTATATAAAATTCTAAAATATAACAAAACCTTTAAAAAAAAAATTAAAAGTAACAATTTCTACCTTTAAAAATATCAATCTCTCTCAATTTCTTTTNGATTTTGTTTTCATTTAAACACAAAATACAAATTAATTAAATTATTCATTCTCATAATCGATCCGCAATAAAAATTAATTAATATCAAAAAAAAATTCAATAAAGTTATTAGAGAAAATAAAATACAATAAAACAATAGGTGAATGTTGCATACATAAATAAATTAAGAATCATAAAAAAAATTAAAATAATTCAATAACAAGATAACAAGAAATTATCAATGCATATTAATAGTTGATAATGTAATACCGCAATTTTCATAAAAAATAAATATGAATGCATACAAAATAAATAAGAAGAACATAAAAATAATAATAAAATAATATATTATATTTCAAAAAGTGTGATTTAAGTAAGAGACCAGAGAAACAGATGTGAGGATTTGTTTACTAAAAAAAATGTACTTAGTCGTGATGATTTATGTATATTTACAATTCTTATGGATTGTACTATTAAACAGTTGCACTCAGATAATATATGTATGAAATAACACGTGTAATGTTTAATATATATTAAATGCCTAAATTACTAAAAAAAAATAATTATGTGACACGAGTATCTTTACTATGACCATACCTTGTAATGATCCATACATTATTTTTGACAAATTTAAAAAATGCATAAAATATGGAGTAACACATATATTACCTTTGATCCTTGCGTGTCATCCATTAATCAATTTGTCTCCCTTAATTGATTCTATGGATGGAGACTCGATAATAAGGAACGAGCAGATATTACAATTGTTGCAATATACGCAAACACTTTTATCATTTGAATGGAATAAGGCATAGCAGGGCTGACGTTTGAACCCGACCATTAAAATAGTTGTCCAGAATCCCAAAAATATAGGGTCCTAATTTAATTTTTAACTCTTAGTTCAGATTCATATTTCACAAGTCTATCTAAAGATTTATAGAAAATTTTAAAAATATAACAATATTTTTACAAGTTTATGTAAAACATTATATAAATTTCTAAAATATAACAAAACCTTTAAAAAAAAATTAAAAGTAACAATTTCTACCTTTAAAAATATCAATCTCTCTCAATTTCTTTTCACTATTTTTTTCTCCTCTCACTGCATGTCTCCAACTCTTTCTCTCGCTCCCATTCTCTATTCCTTATTCTTATCTCTAGTTCTATCGTAGTCTCTTTAAGATTTTATTTCATTTATTATATATCTGTAAGATCATGATTTCATAATTGCATCCAATTTATTATCTAAGTTTGCCCGATCCCAAAACCACTATCACATTGAAAGTAAATCATACTATGTCTCTATAAAATGTGTAATTCTCTATAAAATGTGTAAGAATTGTTAAAAAAATTTATCATCTTCTTAAAATATTAAATGAGGTATCATATGAAATTTTCACTTTAGATTCCAATTTGTATTGGCCCGCCCTTGCCTCTACCACCTGTACTCAACTTCTCACGACATGCTGGGGGGATTCACCGCCTGCACGCTATACGGGCTGATCTGACGAACTTCGTGTATTGCTGCCCCTTGGCACCTTGGATCATAATTTCAAACAATTACTAACATGTTCCGGCTATTTGCATTTTTCCATCACACAATACCCTATAGAATTCCTCTTTGGTCAATTGTGTTGTTAGCAATCATTTTCGACAAACAAATAACCGACATTTCACAGCCTGATATGTTCATTTACAGAATCACTACGAAATGTCAAAATGAAGTNTGTGATTAGAGACGCGACTATACATGCAATTTCCCTTTGGATTACATTGGGTGTGTTTCCCAATTCATCGTCCATCTTTCGGCTAGAACACATCAAGAATGCAGTTGAGAGAGCCTAAAGAAAAAGCAAATTATAGGGAATGAAGGATTAAGACATGCATCATGTACACGTCGGACTGTATTAGAGTCACATCTTATTCATTTTATGATGTTTAATTTTGTAATTATGGTTTGAATAACCGGAATTTTCTAGTTCTATCAATTGCTGCATTAATGAGATAGGAACCAAATGTCCCCCTCACCTATTTGTTAAGACCCTTATCAAAGGAGTTGTATTCTTAACTTACATGATGCTCTTGTGAGTATTTTGTGTGTGTGTGTATCAGAGGGAGGGCTCTTAATCAAGTCGAGTTATTCGAGTTTGGTTTAGGTTCATCTCGTTTTTGACTCGTTTAGGTGAAAACAAAATAAATTTGAATAATTTTTTACGTTCATTTAGAAAATGAGCTCGATAGATTTGACTCGTTTATGTGTAAATATTCAGATTTAGCTTAGGTTTTGGTCATTTTGGGCACATTCAAGCTAGAAAACGAACAAAACTTAAAATAATTTTTTAGGCTCAAGTGTTTTAGGCTCGATTTTGTTTTCATTTAAACACAAAATACAAATTAATTAAATTATTCATTCTCATAATCGATCCGCAATAAAAATTAATTAATATCAAAAAAAAATTCAATAAAGTTATTAGAGAAAATAAAATACAATAAAACAATAGGTGAATGTTGCATACATAAATAAATTAAGAATCATAAAAAAAATTAAAATAATTCAATAACAAGATAACAAGAAATTATCAATGCATATTAATAGTTGATAATGTAATACCGCAATTTTCATAAAAAATAAATATGAATGCATACAAAATAAATAAGAAGAACATAAAAATAATAATAAAATAATATATTATATTTCAAAAAGTGTGATTTAAGTAAGAGACCAGAGAAACAGATGTGAGGATTTGTTTACTAAAAAAAATGTACTTAGTCGTGATGATTTATGTATATTTACAATTCTTATGGATTGTACTATTAAACAGTTGCACTCAGATAATATATGTATGAAATAACACGTGTAATGTTTAATATATATTAAATGCCTAAATTACTAAAAAAAAATAATTATGTGACACGAGTATCTTTACTATGACCATACCTTGTAATGATCCATACATTATTTTTGACAAATTTAAAAAATGCATAAAATATGGAGTAACACATATATTACCTTTGATCCTTGCGTGTCATCCATTAATCAATTTGTCTCCCTTAATTGATTCTATGGATGGAGACTCGATAATAAGGAACGAGCAGATATTACAATTGTTGCAATATACGCAAACACTTTTATCATTTGAATGGAATAAGGCATAGCAGGGCTGACGTTTGAACCCGACCATTAAAATAGTTGTCCAGAATCCCAAAAATATAGGGTCCTAATTTAATTTTTAACTCTTAGTTCAGATTCATATTTCACAAGTCTATCTAAAGATTTATAGAAAATTTTAAAAATATAACAATATTTTTACAAGTTTATGTAAAACATTATATAAATTTCTAAAATATAACAAAACCTTTAAAAAAAAATTAAAAGTAACAATTTCTACCTTTAAAAATATCAATCTCTCTCAATTTCTTTTCACTATTTTTTTCTCCTCTCACTGCATGTCTCCAACTCTTTCTCTCGCTCCCATTCTCTATTCCTTATTCTTATCTCTAGTTCTATCGTAGTCTCTTTAAGATTTTATTTCATTTATTATATATCTGTAAGATCATGATTTCATAATTGCATCCAATTTATTATCTAAGTTTGCCCGATCCCAAAACCACTATCACATTGAAAGTAAATCATACTATGTCTCTATAAAATGTGTAATTCTCTATAAAATGTGTAAGAATTGTTAAAAAAATTTATCATCTTCTTAAAATATTAAATGAGGTATCATATGAAATTTTCACTTTAGATTCCAATTTGTATTGGCCCGCCCTTGCCTCTACCACCTGTACTCAACTTCTCACGACATGCTGGGGGGATTCACCGCCTGCACGCTATACGGGCTGATCTGACGAATTTCGTGTATTGCTGCCCCTTGGCACCTTGGATCATAATTTCAAACAATTACTAACATGTTCCGGCTATTTGTATTTTTCCATCACACAATACCCTATAGAATTCCTCTTTGGTCAATTGTGTTGTTAGCAATCATTTTCGACAAACAAATAACCGACATTTCACAGCCTGATATGTTCATTTACAGAATTACTACGAAATGTCAAATTGAAGTAAATATTACGCATAATACATGAATCAGCACTACCTTTTTCTCCTAAAAAGTTGAAAGATGTGGACAACTTTACGAAAATAAATCAGACATTTTTGTACCATTAGCAATAGACACAACTGTGACATGGGCTTAGCACATTATTAATGCTAACCATAAGCTACCTTAACTATAACTTTCCATCATCAATCCTTTCATCCAATTTACTACATTAACTATAACTCCTCATCATCTATCATCTATTAATTTTCCTACACATTCTAAAATATCAACATGCGTGGAGAAGAAAAAATGGGATCAAAATATCACTCCTGTGCATGGCATAGCACCAGTGGTTAGTAAGTCTGAGAGAGAGATAGTGGCAAGTCAAAGTACAGGTGCTTCTTTGCAGCACCAAACAAGTCCGAATTTTTTGAAGCTTCAATACTTGGGTTCCAAGAACACCAAAGCCAAAGGCCGGGTTTAACACCAATTTGAGATTAACCACACCCTGTAAATGTTTTTTTCCCAATCAGTAGAAGAGTTTTGTTGTAATTTTTTTGGTATAAGTAGGTAGGGGAGGGGAGGGGGTGAAGACTGAAGAAGACATGATTTGAGCAAGTGACTCTATGGTTAAGCTGCAATATCAAGTTGGATGGCTGGAGGAAAAACTTCAATAGCACGTGACCAATTATGATGCTAACTTTATTTGTTTTTGTGAGCAACGATTAGAGTGCAGGTAGTATCCTCTCACCCATAGTCATATACTATCTCAATCTGCTTCAGCAAACAAAAGTTCAGAATAAACGAAACACATATAAGTAGATTGTAAAGACTGATGTGCAAGTATAACGGGCAAATATCATGATTAGACATTCAAACAATTTATATCATGTATCCTTTCAAACAGAAGTAATTTGCAAATTGTAAATCTTAACACAAATGCATTGTTAAATAGATTCTCACAAGATTAACATGTAGTAAGACCACAAATATTATTTCACCCTTGAATCAACAATGCAGGCATAAAAGACTGAATGTGACAAGGAGGGATGTCACCTCATTTCTAAGTAATACTATGACTGAAAGTAAGAAAGAAGTGTTTTAAGCCAAGAAAAAAGGGGACACAAGGGAATTTTGCCTAACCATCGACCTACCTAGTAAAACCAAAACAACTTACCCCAGAAGACGGTGGTGGGTTTCGGGTAAACTTGGTGCCACCAGGAGCCCATGAAATTGGTCATAGGAAAAGAGAATGAACTTCTAAACTGAATATACTGTGTTAAAATGAAAACAAATTATGGCTCACACGTCATTTTGATGTATGGCAAAGGTAAAAGGTGTAACAATAAACACAAAAACATAATAATATACTAAGTTATAGGGATCATATGAAAACATTTTCTCTATTATTAATGTATGTGGATTTGCATTGGTATGTGTAACAGTGTGCACACAGACCAGAAGAGGAGATTGACCTTGAACCACGGTTCATAGAAGACACTGTACATATGAATCTAACATAACAAAATGCAAAATCAACAGAAAGGAGAGGTTTTTAAAGAGGGATCAATTAGTAGGAACCTATTTGTAGATGCATCTATGCTACATTTGGATTTGTTGATTTGACAGGGCGGATTTTAATTGGGCTTTTCCAGTATCTATAGAATGAACACTGTGAACGTGATAGTTGCACCATATACCAGAGTTTGATAATGGCCAGACCTTGAAACTCATTGAGGCTTCTCCATGGACGGATTCCAGAAACACCGAGCGAGGTATAATGGAAATCCGCACAAAGAGAGCTTTTAGCTATGAGAGATGCCTGACTTTCCTAAAGAAAGGACTGCCTCCCTTGGCGATGTAAGTGGAAATCACAACTGAGTAGGTTCTTTTCTCTAGAAGAGTTCCCCAAACCAACAGATTTGACATGCGCTTCTATCCCTCTATCGCCGTCTTAAATTCAAATAAGTGAATTCCAACACTACACTATATCAACACTCCCCAATGCTCCAGCAGAAGAAGAAGCTTTCATAACCATCAAGTACTATGTACTCTAAAAGGAAGGAAATTTGTGGCCAGTCGGTCATTCTCTTGTAAGCAGATAAATTCAGCAGAGTAAAATAAAATAAATCCACCAACAATTATGAATTTCTCAGATAGCACGCACCAAGAGTTAAGCCTTCATGTTGTATTTCTTTCAAGGTTTGCATCAAATGGATATGGGAGGGGGAGGGGGAGGGAAAGGGGGAAGGGAACTTGAACGCTTGACTTCAAGAAGACAAAGTACCATCTGACCAAGGTTCATCGGTACATATGTATCCACTAATAATAAGGAAAAATAATGAAGTTACTGTTATGGCACTAACCAATGTAAGGATCAGGGTGCCGCCACTTATCGTAGATTGCTTCACCATTGGCTATCATTCTATCAATAGTTTCGAGATCTTCCTGCAGGTCCACCAATATTCAAGCAATAAGATATCATATTTGATTAGAGAGCACAAAACATATTATGAGGAAATTTCTAACTGTTTAAGCAGTCACAGCCCAAACACAACAACACACTGCAACTAGTCAATATTATTTTTATCATGTTATCTAGGACAAAAGCAGAGTGGTGAAGTCTCCCTCAGCTATACATCTTTTTTAAGCATTTGGATTAAAAGAAACGAACTGGTAATCACTGTTTCATCTGGTGTGAATCAGAAAAATCGTAATGAACATACTCGAGATTGGCCACTAGTAGTCACAAGAGCAGATCACTTAATAAGAAGAACAAATACCCAGCACAGTTATCATACCTGTCGTGTATGAAACCACACCCACGTCACAACTTAGCCTGGATAACAGCAATAAACACTTGCAGCAGAAAATAACAACCGTGTCATCTTAACAGCATTCTACTTGCTGGTAGAGGTAGCCAAAAAGCTTAATCAAACTATGTATTGTCTAAAACAGCGAGACAGAAAATCAACCTAAAGAAATAAGAGTAATGCAGCAACCACAAGCAAATTCACTCCCACGGCATTGTTATTATTACTAACAATTTAAAACTAAATGAAGATTAATGGGCGAAATTTTACTAAGAGAACAAACCACGTCTTTGGTGGCTTCGAACTTCTGTGGGAGAGCATCGACTGGTGAGATGAACAATCTCCGTCAATAATAAAACCTGTAAGCTAATCTACACAAACACACACACACACATATATACATGAAATGCGAAGGATCAGATGATTAAGGAGGTTCAAAAAACCCTAATTAAGATTGAAGAGGAACATTACATCTGGATAGAAGAGATGGCGATGGACAGCCCAATTGAGGGTGCCTCTAAGAGCTCTCCTTTTGAATCCTCACTCTCTCCTTCTGTGATGCCCTTCTCGGGAGGTACGATGCTACCGATCATCCCTCTCTCTCTCTCTCTTTCCCCCCCCCCCCAAAAAAAAAAAACACACACATTATATCGTTAAATATTATTTATTTGGGTCAAATTGAATGGGGTATAACTTATAGTGGAAATTCTTCGAATAAGTCTTATGCTGCTAGTACCAATTATAAATATCAAGATCGATCTCAACTGATTTCAGTATATAAAAATCCATCATATCTAACTGTAACTCTAACCTTTACATTATAAGACCATCTGCTTATATGAACGATCTGAATGCAAGGGTCATGAACAACAATTATACTTGACAAAGAGCAATGTTGAACCAGCAAATCATATTCTTTTTCTTTCTTGGCAAATACAAGCATATCATATTCACAATACAACACCCATGAACCACAAAAAAGAAGAAGAAGAAGAAGAAGAAGAAGAAAAAAACAATGTCGAATTTCCAGTGCACAATATCATCTTAACCTAAGGAAACTAACAAAAAAATTATAATTCTGCCACAATCCTCGAAATTCGGTTTTTGGTTACAATCATCAATGAACATTAGGTAGTCAATCTGGTTGCATACAATTAAACTTACAAAAGGGATGGCATGCTGCGTTTCCAGCCAAAAGACCTCCGGCTCATGCGTCGAGGTGTGAAGCTAAGCCCAAACATTTCCTTGAGGGCCTGTCCTTGTTCTGAGAACCGGATCAGCTTCGCAACAATTGCAGCACTCTCCCTAATGTGGTTCATATCCTTGGTCTCACTCCACAAGCGCTGGATCAGCTGCAACCTCCTACGCTTTGAGTCCAAACTGATATCCCACTTCTGATAGATTCTATTTCTTTCCTCTTCTGAAAACGTTTTTTGCATCATCCTGCTCAACATCTCCCTCTCACGGCGAAGTGATTTCATGCTGTCACTCCAAGAAAACACCACATCAGGTATGTTGGTGAAATTACTAGGAACAAGATTCAGAAAATGAGCTACTCAAGATATGCATTCAAAAGAAGAAGAAAGTCTTAAATTTCACTTGGTCATGTCAATAGTGGCCTTGCAAATTTAGAATCTATCAAATATGTATAGTAAAAGCTTTCAGCAGAGTCTTGTTGCACATTATTACATTATCTGCCCCCCCAAAAAAATGCCAATATCAAAGGGAGAAAATCTAGCATATTACTACACNGTATAGTAAAAGCTTTCAGCAGAGTCTTGTTGCACATTATTACATTATCTGCCCCCCAAAAAAAATGCCAATATCAAAGGGAGAAAATCTAGCATATTACTACACACCGTTACGGAACAATTCTTTAGCAATTTAGGTCTCATTTTAGAACAAATGTTTCACGCAGAGGCCCCCAAGCCCACATGCACATGCACAAGCGCAAAAATACAGTGAGTGAGAGAGAGAGAGACCTGGAGGTCCATGTCAGAGTCCGACCATCTTGCACAGCTGAATGTCCCTTTAAAAAGGTTTCCTTGAGGAAGGAAAGTCGCCTAACCTCTACCTCCATGTAAATAGAATCCATTTGGTCACCTTTAAAAAGTAGGAAGAAGTATGTCCGGTGGACCAATGAAACATTGCAAGTTTGCCAAAGTTCAATAATCAATCTCTGCAGCATCTCGAACTTCAAGGGTGAGTCTGACGAAGTTCCCAGTGAATCCTGCATTGGATCCAACCCCACATCTTTGACATTCTTCCCAGACTTTTCAGTTGTTGGTTCTGTCTCTTGAACCTTTCATGCATAAGAAAGAATCCATTTTAAGAAGGCAGATCCAGGAAAAGGCCCACCTCTTGTAAGCAACTAAACTAACCCCCACAACATGGCTATCCAAATGGAAGATGTCGAGGAAATACATTATTTTGACACTGGGAAAATATGTGGTGTGATTGAACATCAAAACATGTTGCATGACATAACATGTAAACGCATCAATGATCCAAGTCTCCCCTGCCCAATTTCATTTTATCTTTTAAACCATGATAAACACTTTGGAACAACACAAAAATACAAAGGTAAACTTATAAAAAGGAATTATGTGAAAAGCAATAAAGTGACCACATAAAAAAGAATGCATAAAAATCAGTCACTACTAGAAATTGAAATCGGCAAAGCAAGATGGTGACCACAGAAATGACCAACTTTTTCAAGGACATGCCAGCAAAGAAAACTGGCACAGTCTCACCTGATCATCAAGAAATTCGGTCTCATACTGAAGGTTGGCCATTTTTTTCAGTCCTGCAACAAAAGTACCAATGGTAGGAATGTCCTCATCTCCGGCGATCTGATGCTGAGATTTTTGTTCATCCATGAAAGCACTGCCAATGGAGGATTGCGAATCATTTCTTGACAACCTTGCAGTATTGCCATCATAATTCAATGGAGGACGCATCCAATGCTTCCTTTGGTGGCCTTCTGGTCTTCCTGGAAAGTTTCTCTCAAACCCATTAAGTGGGGTCCTCTCACTATGTTCTACAGTCTCAAAGTCTGATTGCAATGAGCCAGCCATGAGATTGGCCCTACAACTATGGCTCCTAGTCAACTTCAGGCTACTAGAACCTGGCATGTCAGTTCCCATGGCCCATGGAGATGGTTCATCAGGGTAATGGCTGGTTAGAGAGCTAATGGTCTTTTGCACGCCTCGGATTTTCTGCTCCAACGCTCCATACATGAAACCATTTTGAATACCACTGACTTCTCCATGAAAGGATGAGACCAATTCTTGATCTGTCATCCGACCATTACTAGACACCGCCAACGTTGACATTCTTCTTTCGTTCTCACCACTAGATAAGGCAACGGATTCAGATGTTTGGACGTANCATGGACCTGATGCCACTAAAGAGTCAAATCTATTTACAACAGACAAGCCAGGACAATTACACTGGGATGAGTAATGTGATTACAAAAACCCCAATAATTATCCTTGAATAGAGAAAGAGAAAGGAACTAGCTTTCAATTTCAAAAGTGGCAGAACTCTAATTATAGATACGGGGTGTCGTACAGAATTTAGGAACTAGAACTGTAGATAGTATAAAAAAGTAAATCCTAGTAAATGAGTGTAACACTAGCCAGCTATGACCATAAACTTAACATAATCCAAGTCACTGAGTGAAACTCTAGGCAGCTATAACCATATCCTTGACATATTTAAAGACTTTCAAGCTGCCAATTGAAGTTTCAGAGAGTAAAGAAAGGAATAACGAGTCAACCTTAGTTTGCGAATAACAGTTCCCAAAGTCAATAAACTACGGTTGATGTGGCAGCCTTCTTTCAATCTTTGCCCAACTGATAGTGCCTGCGATGCCCGCTCACTCCCAGCCAGATCAACAAAATTCTGCAGATAAGAAAAAATCAACTTGCCATGATTTGACACTTGCGATTTATTTTTTCCATTGTTATTATAAATTATCTAATAAGCTGCATTAGCTGTTCTATATGCATTAAACTTGGATCCGAGAAAATAATCCTTAAGAGATTAATACCACACTAGCTGAAAGGGTTGTTGACTTGTCCTTCCCTAAAAACNATATATATATATATATATATATATATAGAGAGAGAGAGAGAGAGAAACAATAAGTCATTACTAATAAAATCACATTAAGATCCCTTAAGGATGCCTGTTAGCTGGATTGCACAGCGTCGAGATTTGAAGTACCATTGTATTTTACATGGACCTGATGCCACTAAAGAGTCAAATCTATTTACAACAGACAAGCCAGGACAATTACACTGGGATGAGTAATGTGATTACAAAAACCCCAATAATTATCCTTGAATAGAGAAAGAGAAAGGAACTAGCTTTCAATTTCAAAAGTGGCAGAACTCTAATTATAGATACAGGGTGTCGTACAGAATTTAGGAACTAGAACTGTAGATAGTATAAAAAAGTAAATCCAAGTAAATGAGTGTAACACTAGCCAGCTATGACCATAAACTTAACATAATCCAAGTNGTAGATAGTATAAAAAAGTAAATCCTAGTAAATGAGTGTAACACTAGCCAGCTATGACCATAAACTTAACATAATCCAAGTCACTGAGTGAAACTCTAGGCAGCTATAACCATATCCTTGACATATTTAAAGACTTTCAAGCTGCCAATTGAAGTTTCAGAGAGTAAAGAAAGGAATAACGAGTCAACCTTAGTTTGCGAATAACAGTTCCCAAAGTCAATAAACTACGGTTGATGTGGCAGCCTTCTTTCAATCTTTGCCCAACTGATAGTGCCTGCGATGCCCGCTCACTCCCAGCCAGATCAACAAAATTCTGCAGATAAGAAAAAATCAACTTGCCATGATTTGACACTTGCGATTTATTTTTTCCATTGTTATTATAAATTATCTAATAAGCTGCATTAGCTGTTCTATATGCATTAAACTTGGATCCGAGAAAATAATCCTTAAGAGATTAATACCACACTAGCTGAAAGGGTTGTTGACTTGTCCTTCCCTAAAAACTCACGAGCAGAACTTTCAATTGTCTGAGAAAATCAAATTGAGATGGGGTTACTGAAAGAATTCTAAAGGCTACATACAAAATTTATTCGAATACATGATCCAACCAAAAGAGGGAGAGAAGGGAGGGGCATACCAATCTAAGAATTTGATGAGATCTAGAGCTTGTTTCATTCAGAGAGGTCTCCCCTATTTGTCTTTGAGCTGCAAGATTAAAAAAAACAAGAACATGGGGCACCAGCTTTCACAGGTTAGTGGACATAAAATTCCTTGTAGTTCAATTTTGGAACAATGCTCCTACCTTCACAGATTGACAAGAGCTCCCTGAGATGACTCCAATCCCTCAGAGTTTCCTCTGCGAGTTTCTCTACTATAGTCCCTTTCTACATAAATGAGGAATAGTAAGAAAATTATATGGACTTACAGGATGAAAGGAAAAAGAACATAATGCTCACTTCCGGATCATCTAGAAGCCTGAGTTGAGTATCATCTCTGCCGAGGAGGTCTCTCACAACTTCATTGTAGATCTCAATTGCCGAAAACTTCAAAACAAATGCTCTTTCTTCATGCTGGCCAAAAGAAAATAGATACTTAAAGAAACTCGAAAATAAGTAAGGTGCACAATGCAGAATTTGTGCAGAAAAATAAACACCAAAAATAGCATTTAATTACCCTTTGTATGTAGTCATATATATCTGCCACTGTATACTCTGTTATCCCATTCATGGTGTATGTCTTTCCACTGCTTGTTTGCCCATATGCAAAAATAGTTGCTGAATTGAATTTTCAAAAAAAAAAAAAANAGCTGGACTCATCCACCTCAATACATCGAACTTCCTTGCAGATGTCATCAGAACTTTCTCCAGTTTCTAGTACAAACTCCTCCTTACCCCGACATCTATCAGATCTACCAAAATTTCTACTATCCGATAGTGATGAAGAAGTTCCACCGAACAGAGAATGGTCTCCCTCATCTTCTGAAAGCCTTCTGTTGTTTTTGTTAGAAGACTGAGTTGCGTCATTGAACTTTTTCTTCTTGACAGCAACGTCCAAACAATGACGATCAGTTCCACAAGATGCCTCTGATACTGAACTCTCATCTTCCCATGTGTTCTTTTCTTGAAATTTAGCATTATGACTAAGCTCATCCTGATCCAAAAAAATCATAAAAGTAAAAGAAAAAAAAGTATGAGTTAAGAAGTTGGTGCAACACACTTCAAGGTACTGAAGTTGAGCAAATAGAAAAATACATACCCATTGTCCTGAAGAATGATCATTTCTAACCCCTCGTAGTAAATCCTCAACCCGAGATTGGGCAAGATCCCGTTGCTTAGTTAGCTCTCTCAGCTCTTTCTCCAACTGCAGATAATGTGAGCCAATAAGTGTACACGTGGCTTATGAGATGGATACTCTTGAAATATGGTCGACTCTACTCATCAATTCCATTCAGCAATCAATTCCACTGAATTTATAAAACCTATTATGTTTGTTTGCATAATCAGGTTAATAAGAGCAAATACATTCAACAAAGTTGGAAAGAGTCCTAACCTTCTCGATCTGCAGATCTTTCTTTCTCAGCAATGCTGCATAATCACAAGCAGGGCCTGGAGTTCTTAACTCAGTTTCCAATCTAGCCACCTCTTTTTGTAAATGCTTCACCAATGCCTTATCAGACATCACTATATTGACTTGTGCATTCGTTGTCACTTCCTTCGCACAAGTAGCAAACAATAGCGTATTTCTAGATTGCTCAACATGGCTTCGTGCCGGGCTCAAGGTGCAAATTATGGCAGTTCTAGCATTGCCTCCCAAGGAGGGTTGCAGTATACGAGTTAGCTTAGAATCTCTGTAGTTAACATGTCCATGTCTTCCCTTGCTGCATTAATCAGAGAACTGAATAATGATCTAAAGATGGCATAAAACTCTAGCTTAGAATAAAGCTTCAAATTCAGGAACTAGAAAGGGAAAATAGACTTAAACCCCCCACCCAAAAAAAAAAGGAATGTACACACTTGTGTGGATGTATATATATATATATATATATATATAGAGAGAGAGAGAGAGAGAAACAATAAGTCATTACTAATAAAATCACATTAAGATCCCTTAAGGATGCCTGTTAGCTGGATTGCACAGCGTCGAGATTTGAAGTACCATTGTATTTTACATGGACCTGATGCCACTAAAGAGTCAAATCTATTTACAACAGACAAGCCAGGACAATTACACTGGGATGAGTAATGTGATTACAAAAACCCCAATAATTATCCTTGAATAGAGAAAGAGAAAGGAACTAGCTTTCAATTTCAAAAGTGGCAGAACTCTAATTATAGATACAGGGTGTCGTACAGAATTTAGGAACTAGAACTGTAGATAGTATAAAAAAGTAAATCCAAGTAAATGAGTGTAACACTAGCCAGCTATGACCATAAACTTAACATAATCCAAGTCACTGAGTGAAACTCTAGGCAGCTATAACCATATCCTTGACATATTTAAAGACTTTCAAGCTGCCAATTGAAGTTTCAGAGAGTAAAGAAAGGAATAACGAGTCAACCTTAGTTTGCGAATAACAGTTCCCAAAGTCAATAAACTACGGTTGATGTGGCAGCCTTCTTTCAATCTTTGCCCAACTGATAGTGCCTGCGATGCCCGCTCACTCCCAGCCAGATCAACAAAATTCTGCAGATAAGAAAAAATCAACTTGCCATGATTTGACACTTGCGATTTATTTTTTCCATTGTTATTATAAATTATCTAATAAGCTGCATTAGCTGTTCTATATGCATTAAACTTGGATCCGAGAAAATAATCCTTAAGAGATTAATACCACACTAGCTGAAAGGGTTGTTGACTTGTCCTTCCCTAAAAACTCACGAGCAGAACTTTCAATTGTCTGAGAAAATCAAATTGAGATGGGGTTACTGAAAGAATTCTAAAGGCTACATACAAAATTTATTCGAATACATGATCCAACCAAAAGAGGGAGAGAAGGGAGGGGCATACCAATCTAAGAATTTGATGAGATCTAGAGCTTGTTTCATTCAGAGAGGTCTCCCCTATTTGTCTTTGAGCTGCAAGATTAAAAAAAACAAGAACATGGGGCACCAGCTTTCACAGGTTAGTGGACATAAAATTCCTTGTAGTTCAATTTTGGAACAATGCTCCTACCTTCACAGATTGACAAGAGCTCCCTGAGATGACTCCAATCCCTCAGAGTTTCCTCTGCGAGTTTCTCTACTATAGTCCCTTTCTACATAAATGAGGAATAGTAAGAAAATTATATGGACTTACAGGATGAAAGGAAAAAGAACATAATGCTCACTTCCGGATCATCTAGAAGCCTGAGTTGAGTATCATCTCTGCCGAGGAGGTCTCTCACAACTTCATTGTAGATCTCAATTGCCGAAAACTTCAAAACAAATGCTCTTTCTTCATGCTGGCCAAAAGAAAATAGATACTTAAAGAAACTCGAAAATAAGTAAGGTGCACAATGCAGAATTTGTGCAGAAAAATAAACACCAAAAATAGCATTTAATTACCCTTTGTATGTAGTCATATATATCTGCCACTGTATACTCTGTTATCCCATTCATGGTGTATGTCTTTCCACTGCTTGTTTGCCCATATGCAAAAATAGTTGCTGAATTGAATTTTCAAAAAAAAAAAAAAAGAAAGGTATTTACTTGTCATTTTTTTATGAGTGAAGTTACAACAGCCACAAAGCAAGTGCATCTCCTAGCATATTTACGGTTAACACAACAACCAGAAAGCAGGGGCATAATATACTTACAGTTGATACCACTGACAACTGAAAGAGCAATCTCCTTTGTTCCTTCCTCATATACATGCTTCGTTGAGCAGTCACCCCCAAATACTCCATCTACCACCAAAATCATGGATCGCAGAAAGGAAGGTACAACAAGGAAAATTGAGGTCCCTCAATAAATTTCTTACATTGTGTCTAAATTATAAGAAAACAATCTGCTAAAATTCTCAACGTATCCAAACCCATGACAGTGTACCTATGTGGGTTTCTAATGCTCGTGCCTATATGGTAACTCATAATCACTTAAGCATGCATAAAAAAGACCATGGCTAGGTAAGCCATGGACAGAAACTTATGGGTAAATAATGTAGATGGCAACCAACAAGATGTATACTGGATGGGAAACAAAACCACGTAATATTAGTTCACCGAAGGCTCTCCAAAGGTAAAGGTAAAGTGTAAACAGCTCTGGATCACAATTAAACCCACAAAGGCCTCAACAAATATATTATTTCATTCTAAAACCAGGAAAGAATCAAATCTGAATAGACAAGGCAAACCAGGCATTTTCTTACCAAATGTATACGCTGTTGGAAGCCCAGATCGCTCTTGGAGACTATTCCGGTACAAAATGGTGGTTTCGTTGATGCATTCCCAGTCTGCAACTTCATTCCTCGCACTCTCCTTTTCACTCAAAGGCCTTAACCTCACCAATACTAGGATCTTCTCCTCATGACCACGCGCCAGACCTTGCATATTTTCCCACTTCATCAACTCTTCTTCTCCAATTGCCCCCATTGATCTCCCTTTTTTCTTTCGTTCTCTCTCAATCACTCCTCCAATTACACAAAACACTAAATACCCATTGTTCCAATAGGCAAACAGTACCAAATACCATCACAATTTCTCAACGGACTGGCATTGTTTCTTTGTTCTCTCCCAAACCCCACCACCATGTAAAGCACAGAAAACATATCCATTATTCATGAATCCCGGATAATACCAGAAAAGGCACAAACATCTCTCACTGTACCATATTTCTGCCCAAAAGAAGCAAGACAGTTAAGCTGTTAATAACATAGGTTGTGGTGCTTGAAATAGAAAAATGATATGCTCCAACTTCTCTTAACTGTATTATCTGCAACTGAAAGCTAATTATAGAACGTATTGATCAACCAACACAACAAACAGAAAGACAAAAGTTGATCTTAATCATGGTTAGTTGTGATTAAGCACTTTGCTTAACCTTTGTTCTCAAGCTTCAACAAGGCCCTTGAATTTCATTGTAGAGTGAGAACAGATAGCTTTGCTTAATGGGGACCTTACTATGCTTGAAAACGAAGTAACAGGTGCTTTTATGGCAATTCTTAACAGGCCGGTGAAGCTTGGAATATTTTAGCCAAAGTGGTCCCCAATACACACACACACACACAGATATATATATATATATATATATAATCCAAAATTATATTTATATTTACCTTCTCTGTCGTTTTCACGGAAAGGTAGTGAAGTCAGAATTCAGATTAAGAATCCAAATTCCGGTTGAATTGTCAGAAGCTTCGCTGGTGTTGAACTGGAAAAATCCAAATCTAATGGATTTGAGATTTTTTTATCGTAGCAAAAAAACCCCTTAAATGTGTCTTTCCTGCTTAAAAGTATTTGAAGTTCTTATAAATTCGGGTGGAAGAGTAATGTTTAAGCTCGTCAATGGCGTCGTAATACACGAGATTTTAGAAAAAGATGATGAAACTTTCCATGTCGAATAAAGTGAAAGAAGAAAGAAATCAAATAACAAATCGAGAATGTGGGTGAAAAGGACACAAACAGAAGCCAGATGGAACAGTCGAAATCGGCGAAATCTCACCCCCGCGATCATACAGATTGTTCAAACTGAAAAAAAAAAAAAAAGAAAGAGAGAGAGTGAGAAAGCGAGAATGAACTGTAGCGTTGTAACTTCTACCAGCAACCGTCGCTCTCTCTCTCTGTCTCTCACACACAGAGACAAACACACACTGGAGACGTGGTGCTCTATGTCGCTATCTCTCTCACTCTCTCACCCACACCCCACAAGCACAAACACACACTGGAGACGTGGTACTCTCTCTCTCTCTCTCACACACACACACACACACACATTGGAGACGAGGTGGTGCAAATCGGCGAGTTGCTGGGGGGCGTCAACGTCCGTCCAGTTGTTATTCATGACCTCTGCGATTTTTCCAGTTAAAATGACTATTTTGCCCTTGCTTTNGGCGTCAACGTCCGTCCAGTTGTTATTCATGACCTCTGCGATTTTTCCAGTTAAAATGACTATTTTGCCCTTGCTTTATTCTAAAAGCCTGGAAGTTAGCCACGTGCTCACGTGAAAATGAGAATATCTGCGTAATAATTAAACAAAAATTAAATCTTTTTTTTTTAGATATATATTAAGTTGAATCTAAATCTATTGGAACAAACAATGTTAATTGTATTATAATACTCTTTGCATTGTGTTACTATGATCTTCCCAATTTCAAATTTTATATAAAATTTGATTTTTTTTATTAATTTACATATGAAATCTTTTATGAAATAACTAATCATGAATTGTCTAGGGTTACAAGATTTATTTTGCTATATTTTGTCTCTCTCCTTTATTTATTGTTTTACTATATTAGTAATAATTCATGTGTGCAATCTTAAGGGGTAGTTCAGTGGAGACAAAAAAAGTAATGTAAATTAGTTTGAAATTTTATAACTTTCTTATTTATCCCTCATGAATTATTTAGTTCTNGAGACAAAAAAAGTAATGTAAATTAGTTTGAAATTTTATAACTTTCTTATTTATCCCTCATGAATTATTTAGTTCTAATATGGATAATTTATTTTTGACCGAATCGAGAAATAAATAATTGAAGCGCGCGTAAACTGACTCACATACTCTTAATTGTTATACAAAAAAAGAAAAAAAAATTATACATGAAAACACTATACAATATCAAAAATATAGTATTCATCATGTAATATTAGTGTTTTAAATAATAATCCTTTTTAATTACACAAATTATTATTAAACTAGAGAGAGAGAACAAGAGAGAGACAAATATGATTAGTAAAGTTGTTTGACATTGAAGAATTAGTTATTGTCTGTGCCTGATTGCATAAAGTAATAAAAAATAATAAACAATAAACATATTTGTATTTATATTTATATCCAAAATCAAATCAAAAATACAGAAGACCAAAATCAAATCAAAAACACAGATGAGAGATTAATAAATTTAAGCATCGGATTGTAATGAGCATGAGAGGTGGGGGATGACAGTTGTAGCGGAAGCAGACAGTGATGGTTATAGTAGGTGACAATGATCGTGATGGTAGTAACGGCGACTATAGCGACAACGACACAACGGTGGTGATGGTGGCAGTGGCAACAATGGTGGGGGATGGCAACGACAATGGCGATAGCAGGTGGTGGTGGTAGTGGTAGTGGTGGCGGCAACGGCAATGGTGGTGGTGATAATGGCGGTGGTGGTGGTAATGGTAGAAGTAGTAGTAAGGCGGTTTGAAACATTATTTTTTTTTAAGTATTTATGATAAATAATTTTTAAAAGTACTTTTAAAAATTCATTTCAAACACACCTTTAGAGTCATATTTTTTTTTATTAAATTTAGAGTGTTAATATTAACCGTTAGATTAACTTTAAAGTAAAAATTTAAAGCAATTTGAACCGCGAAAAACAAAAGTCAATTTGTTTATCTTTTGAAATTTGAATTGTAAACTATTTTATTATATAGATGTGTGATTGACTTATTTTTTGGCAATTTATTTTTTAAATAAATTTTGTATCGTTATATAAATTTAATAAAGATTGAATTAATATTAACTGTTATTATAATTTTATAAATGAGTAATTTAAAATACTAACTCTAATTTTAGATAGATAGCTTTTTCAATACTCAAATAAAATATAATGTTGTTATCTAATCACATTTAATAACAATTAATGAATAAAGAGGGGACAACGACTTTAAAATTTAATAACAAAAATGATATCTATTAAATCAACCGTTAAACTCAGGATTCACTAATTTAATCACTTTAATATTTCTAACAATTTTAAAATCATGGACCAAACTAGGATAGAGACCTTCACCAACTGTGCCTACCGTCCACCGACTATTCCCCCATTAAAAAAAAATAAAAAAAAATATATATATATATATATTTTTGAAGGTTTAACGACTTTCAGTTATATCATTACAGTTGGAGAACTGGACAGCTGGTGGGCCGACCCGATATCAGTAAATTACAGGATATGACTTAATGACTTCAATGCGATAGCTTGGATCACGGATCAACCCCTCAAAATGTGGACCCGTTAAAGAGAGAAAAGTGATGAGTACTCGTGCCTCATATGTTTCTGACTAATTTTATGGTACCATTTTTTTTTTCAGAACTATTATTTTTTAAAGATAAAATTATAATTAATTGAGGTAAAATCACAATCAATTAATATATTTTTTGATTGATTATGAATACAGTGCTAATCAACTTTGATATTGTAGCTTTTTTCTGTATCTCATTTGTAATACACTCACCAAAAATTTTATCGAAACCTTTCATCAANTTCAGAACTATTATTTTTTAAAGATAAAATTATAATTAATTGAGGTAAAATCACAATCAATTAATATATTTTTGATTGATTATGAATACAGTGCTAATCAACTTTGATATTGTAGCTTTTTTCTGTATCTCATTTGTACTACACTCACCAAAAATTTTATCGAAACCTTTCATCAAATGAATTTGAATTGTTTGATCAAGNCTGTATCTCATTTGTAATACACTCACCAAAAATTTTATCGAAACCTTTCATCAAATGAATTTGAATTGTTTGATCAAGGAGTTTTACTAACACCCGCTATAAATCTAATGCTTATGGTTTTATCACATCATTTGGTTTAGGAGTTTTGGCGGTACACAAAACAATTTATATAGATTTTTTTTCCTATTTTTGTGGTTGATTACTTGTATATAAATCTTTGATTAATACGCAGTAGATGATTTATCCAAGAATAAGTTATTTAAAAAAATTTGAATACAATACATCAAGTTGCCAATTCCAATGATATTGGGAGCCGAAGAAAATTTATTGAATGAGAATTGCCTATACTATTGTCAATGTAACTAATAATCATGAAATTATTAGCAATTTTAGCGCGCGATTGGAGATTATTAGGAAAAAGAAAAGGTTAATTTCAATGATAATTTCAATGATTAATATCTTGAGCTCTTAAATTTAATTAAAGCAAGACAAGGTATGATTGATCTTTCTTATGATTATAAATAATTGTGCACATTTTAAGTTTAAGTAACAATCACTAAATCAAAAAACAAACAAATTCATACCATCGTTGAAAGAAATTGGATTGTTCTCGTGGGAATACATTTGGGCTGAGTTTGAATCATTATCCTCTACCAAAAAAAACCTAAAATTTAATTGTATTTTTGAACATTGCTGTCCCAAACCTTGTTTCTCTTGGGAGGATGGGTCAATTGGTTGTCTGCCGCATATGTTAGGTAGGGGGCTCAAATAACACTTTTTTTAGGGTTCAACATTAAGGGTGTTCGGGTTAATTTACACGTATTTCGATTAATTTTTTTTTTCGTCTGATCAAAGACAGATCATCCACGTCAAAACTAAGATATAAATAACGGTCTAACATAGGGCAATCTAACATATAAATAACGGTCTTCTAAGATTTTAAACTTATCAATTTTCTTTTATCTAACCAATAAATAATCTTATCCAAAAAATGGTAAAACATCCGATTCTCCCGAAAATGATGATAAGATTACCTATCACTCGTTCATTTTTAGCACAATTGACAATCTTGTGCTTAAAATACGATATTTTTCGCATCATAAATGAAAGTGTAGTGTGAATAGCAAACCTTAATCTGGGAGGGCAGAAAAAGTTATATGTGAAAAAGTTATTCTTTTAATAATCACAGGAAAAGGATGGAGGGTTGAATTATAACAAGACACCATCATTTTGGGCCATGATGTGGGGGCAGTTTCAATGCGGTGATTAAAGAAGATCAGACTACACACCACAAAAAAAGAAAAATGAATAGATTGCGCAGATCGAGACTTGAGGACTAATACTTCTTTCGGTTTAATGGTTGCACGCGTGCACATAATTAGGTGGGCCCATCGTATTTCCCAACCGGAAGAATGTGAGAATTATTTAATTTAAGCTAATCTCATTTTATACCATGAAGGATATTTTGATTATTAATAGAACATGAGAATGAGATATGTTCATTGTTGCAAATCTTTGTTTACGATCAATTTTACATCGTTTGGAACCAAAATATTGGTCGTGTGTACTTCTGTCGACGGATTGGATTTGGATTTGAATTTAAATTTTACTAATTCGAACATAAAATCTATTTTAAAAGTATGATCTGAATTTGAATCGGATTATCCGACAAATTTTATTTTCATGATTCATATTAAAATCCGTTAATAATCAAAAATCTGATTTAAACATCCAATCCAGATGACATAATTTAACAAATTTTATTTAATATTTTTTCAAATAATCACTTATTTTTATTTTTAGTATCAATGATTAAAAATCAATTGAACCAAAATCTATGATTATGCAACGATTTCATGTAGTATCAAAAAACATTCAAGTTGTCTGCGGCATTGGAAAAAAATTTTGGTACCGTCTTAATAATTATTATATTTGTAGGTATTTTTATTATTTTTGTAGTACTGAGAAAAAATAGTAAAAATAGTTATTAGAGTAATAATAAAAACACTCACAATAGTGGTAAAAATATATTTAAATATGAAAAATTACCCGCAAAAGTGATTTTTTTTTTTGTTATAAAAATACTCATTAAAATAATAAATTTTAGAGGTACGGTACCGAATTTTTTTTAATATTTTTTTGATACTATACCTAAAATCATCAATGCAGTGGGTGCCAAATGGCACTAAGCACTGTACGAGAATGAAAGCAGGGATTTCTGTTGATGGCTCTAAATATCTTAACGAGTTAACCTTAATCCCACCTAAATCAATCTATTTAGTTTACCTACTACATGGTAGTGGAGGCGGTTGGGCTTAACCTTTTCACTGATTGGTATGATTATGGCTTTACCAGTGGTTTGACTTTCATTATCTAAATTATTCCTTATCTAATATATAATCAAGCCGCATCCACCGGTAGTGTAGTGAAAGATGATGTCAATAAACTCAAATATAAATCAATTGTGTCATGTATTATTTTGATTAGTTTTACTTATATTCGATTTGTTCATTAGTCATATTGAGTGGGGTCTACTCGTTTACGAAAATGAGTGATTTTAGGAAGATTAAAACTTTTTAATTTCGTATTGTGTTCTTATTATATTAACTAATTATGTTATATTTTAATTCCCATAATTATATATTTGTATTGAAACCATGAATTAAGGTGTTTTGATGAAAATAGGAGCATCACAACGTCACATGTGTCAATTACCTCCTCACTATTTTCTAATGTTCCTCTAAATCAATTGGTATATGTGAGGGAGTGGTCTTATATGACCACTAAGAACATTTCCAAGAAATGCTGTAAAGCACAAAAATAGCTAATCAAAACAAAAAATCATACTCCAATAAAATATGTTCAGATACTCTAAAATAGATTTTTGTTGCAGTGATACTCTATTATTCTAGTAATATGTAAAATTTGTTTATACTATTTTCTCTCTCTTCCTTTCTTTTCTTTCATTCTCTCTCTTTTTCTTTTTCACTATTCTCAAAAAAAATAATACAAAAGAAATGAGAAATAATATTTAAAAAGAATAGTTAAAAATATATAAAATTAGTTAGAATGTGTATTAAAAAAATGAGTAGTTAAAATATAAAATATTATTTTTTGAGTAACTAAAATAAATTTTGTTGTTGGAGATGCTCTAAATCCAGGATGTTTGCTAAAGGTTGGCCTACCTTCAGCCAATTAATAAAATAAAAAGCGTAGCTTACGGAGAATTTGTTGTATCCACAACCTACAATTTTTAGGTGTTCTAACTTCTAACCAATGATATATTATAAATTTACTAGAAGAGAGAAAAACCTGACAAAACTCGTAATACGCGAGATTCCACTTATAAAGAACCTTTAAAAAAAAAATCAAATATACATAATATTTTTGTCTGGTAAAGAGAGATTATTTTTGTAATTTAAACTTGTGATTATGAGTGTCAAAATGTGACACGACACGACGTGAAAGTAAAAAATTTGAGTTTTCATTGAGCCACCTGTTTTGTAAATAAATGAATCCGACAGAACACTGTTAATAAATAAATTAGGTATGAGCTAAATCAATCAAAAGAAATATATAATACGATTCGTTTATATATCAATTATACACTATGAACTAATATGACACGACTCATTAGATATTAATTAATAAATACATTGGATAAGAGTGAAATAGTTTTTGACACGAATGTTTCACCGGATTCACAGGCTTACTTGTGGTTTCTGAACCATAATTGGAGTATGGGCCATTGCTTGAGCTTTTCTCAACGTAGGAATGTACAGCCTAATCCCAAAGAGAGCAGATATGCCTAACTCTAAATTTGGATCACCAGCCCAATTTGAACCCAACGTTCCTTCATTCTTTTTTTGGGCTTTTCTTCGGGTTGAGCTTAACTCCACCGGCTAAAGAGAGATGTATCTCCCATGAGAGGTCATATAAATTTTAAGATTTTAATATCTTCATCCATTGTCAAAGACACAAATCTATATAATAAAATAACTTACAATTCAAATTTCAAAAGATAAATAAAATAACTTTTGCTATTCACGGTTGAGATCGCTTTAAATACTTTAAAGTTAATCTAACGACTAATATTAACACCTAAATTTAATAAAAAAAATAAGTCTCTAAATGTGTGTTTGGAGTGATTTTTTAAAAATTATTTTAGAAATTATTTTTCATGACTACTTTAAAAAAAATAATAGTGTTTGAAACCGCCCTACCGCCACCATCCCCATCATCACCACCATCGCGGCTACCACTGTCACCGTCGTCGTTGTTGCCATCACCATCACCACCACCACCATCACCGTCGCTGACCTTGCCTCCACCACGGTCATTGTCACTCATTACAACCATCATCTTCTCTTACCACCACCACTGTCACCCACTACCTCTCACCTCTCACTACAAATTGATTTTTAAATTTTTTTATCTCTTTTCTATATTTGTGATTTAATTTTAGATATAAATACAACTATGTTTATTATTTATCAGTTTTTTATTACATTGTGTCTTCAGACACATGCAATAACTAGTCATTTTATATGATAAGAAAGTTTTTAAGGAAGTGTCACGTCAAGCTTACTCCTTCTAAGTAAGTTCCTAATATCTATAATCACATATAAATTACAGTGATAATATTTATGAAGTCTAAATTTTATTCTGATTATGGGAATTTTTTTTCGAATTTATGAGACGTGTAACGCTTAGCTTAGTTATTGGAAATGATATTTTTCGCATGCTTGTATTAAGATTTAAATTTTGTTGTTAAAAAAAAAGATAATCAATCAAAATAAAAAAAATTTGAAAACAATGAAAAGGAAGTCAATTGTTGATAATCATTGTTTTGACCTTTCAAATTTAATTGTTGAATAAGAGCCCTCATCGTTTAGGTTGATGAGTGAGATTTTTGATCATTATAGTCATCTCCGGAAAGTGAGATCATCATCGATTTAAAGAAGAGAGAAAGATCACTCCTAAATACAATCGTGATATTATATATGATACCATCAAATAACTTAATTTTAGTAGAATTTATATGACTTTTTGAACAATCGAAAATTTTGGTTTTTCGAATCTTTCCTATCTCCTGATCGATAATATTGATGAAGCTCAAAACTCATTCTAGTTTCATTTTTGCGATTATGCTTATAAAGCCCAAATTTCATTCTAGTTTCATTATTATGCGTTCATTTATAAAATTTGAAAATAAGGTAAACTCAAAACCAAGGGAGTGCTTTGCTAGCCATGCGTACATTTCGATGGGATAGGGCAGATATGAAATTGGTGGGTGATAATATAGTGGGCCCAATCCAAGGTTGCTTTCATTCAACAAAACGACACCTTGGTGATAGTGGGTGAGAATTAGCGGGTCAGCCACGAAATCCGTTTTCTTTCTTGGGCTTTAGAACAACCCGACAATCAAAGATGGTCATTTTTAATGAATTTTTTACACCACACGTTCACGTCCAATATTTTTTCAGAACAATGCAGAAATAGAGCGAAGCCAAACCATGACTACTGACCACGTGTCGCAATTCTAAACCACAATTCTCTCCTCTTTTTGGCCAAGACCTATCTCTCACAGGGACTTTTTAGTAACTTCGCGATCATAAAGACAGAGTTTAGAACTCAATTAAATTACCAAAATGCCTCAGACTCACACGTTTCGCCGTGAAACAGTCGCGCCGGTACACCGTATCTTCCGTAGACCAGTGAGTACAGTATAAGCATAAGATTTCCTTTGCGTTCCTTCTGCTTCAACCACCACCTTGGCAGGCAGCTTCTCTCTTCAAACACTCCCGTTTCGTTCCCCCACCGGCGGTGAATGACGACTTCGTCGAAGCCGAGACGGAGAAAATGAGAAGAGAGAGAGAGAGAGGGGGGAGAGTGGGCAGTGAAAGGGAATCATGAGAACACTTTGCGACGTGTGTGAGAACGCAGCTGCGATCCTTTTCTGCGCAGCTGATGAGGCTGCTCTTTGCCGTTCTTGTGACGAAAAGGTATCAAAATTCATCCACTTTTTGCTGAATTATAGATGTCCAATAAATTATTCTCTGTTCTTCAAATTTGTTTTTTCTCCTTAAGTTCATTAACGATTCGATTTTGAATGGATCTAACGATGTAATATCGGTAATTCTATGAATTTTTTAACAGAAAGTTAGAAAATTTGTTCGGTTTCCCTATTTGGAATGAAAAGATTAGTCTCTTTTCACTATAGATCATTCATTTTTAGAAGAGGAGAGAGAGAGAGAACCGTTTTTATCAATGCTAAACTCGCATGATCGTGTCTCCTTAGGTGTATCATGCAGTATTGCTCTTAATTTTACAATTTCAAGTTGGAAAATATGTTTGGTTTACTTATTTTACAATGAAAAGATTAGTTTTTTTTTAATGGATTACTTAAAGACGAGAAATGGTTTTTTTTTTTTTTATCATTGATAAATTTCTATTTCATAATTTCCGTTATGGCCACTGACTATGTATAATCAATATTTCAAGTGTGGTTCACATGTAATTGTTATGTAGATTATTTTATAACTTTCTCGGCCTTTTGGCTAAGATCAAGTTATGTAGATTATTCTCTGGTGCATATGGATTCAGAATGAATAATATCAACATTAGAATACATTAAAATAATCAGACTATAGATTCTCAAAATGCAAAAGAAGTCCCTCTAGATTTTGGAGCATGATTTCGGGGAGCTTGACGAAATGCATATGCCAGATGTTTAGTATACCAGTATAGATGAAAAAAAAACTCAGAAGGAAGATGTAGTCGTGTAAGGCTGCTTGTCATTTACGTATTATTTGTTATGCATTCGTTTTCTTCCTTGATTGACTTAGCAGTCATTTAAGTATTTATCTTATGTAATTGCATCTCCTTGAGACCAATGTAGCCACAATGTGTTGACCAAAATGGTATGACAGGTCCATAAGTGTAACAAGCTTGCAAGTAGACATGTACGGGTTGGGCTTGCTGACCCTAGTGCCGTTCCTCGTTGTGACATATGCGAAAATGCACCTGGTATGCAGTTGTCCTTTTTTTTTTTGTGCTGTGTTTTGTTTTCCAACATGGTATCATTGGTTAAAGTACTCTTCATTCCTTCAACACGAGTATGCAGCTTTCTTTTACTGTGAGGTCGATGGAAGTAACCTTTGTCTGCAATGTGATATGATCGTTCATGTTGGAGGTAAAAGAACACATGGAAGATATCTCCTGTTGAGGCAAAGAGTTGAGGTTTGTGGTCTTGTACTATAGAGCAAGCACCAATTGAGGTCCTTGTGCTTGTAATGCTAAAGGCCACCCATAATTTACAATCTCTTTGGGGTTCTTCTGTAGTTCCCAGGGGATAAATCTAGTCATTTGGATGAGCTAGGAATGCAACCTGTCGATCCAGGTGCAGCGAGGAAGGAACCAAATCAGCCGTTTAAGCTTACCACAAGAGAGGACCCTGTTCCAGTGCTAGACAATAACACTGATGGTGGTAGCAACATGGACAGTAAATTGATTGATCTTAATGCAAGGCCTCAAAGGATCCATGGGGAAGCTTCAAATAATCAGGTACTCATCTTTGACTGGAGTTCTATGTATATTTCTGATGTTCCATCTCAATTAATCAGGAATTGTTTTGCTTCCTTTTATATTAAAGGAACAGGGAATGGATTTTCTAAGTGGTAGTAACCACAAATCTGCAAGTGTGGTTCCGGGTGGATTCTTCAGAAGAGAGGCTGAGAGATGATTGAGGTGTACACTTGCTTCTGATTAAATTTTCTCTCGTTTTTCTGCTTCTTGTCCCACAGGGGCAGTGGTTGTAATGCTGCTGATGGTTTCTGGGAAGATTTTATTGTTTATGAGGGTGAATTGTTCAGAAGGATGTTTGAGATCATTTATAATGTTTGTAGCAGTGCACAAAATTGCAAGGCCTTGCTACTTTAAAAATAGTAGTCCCAACCCCCCTTTGCTACTGTGAGAGAGGAAAAAAGGATGGTTCACAAAATCCAAAGCTTTGATTCATATTCTATCCTGATATCCGGTATGAGGTCATTGTAGACAGTGCTAGGTGTGATCCCTTAACAGTGTTAAAATTTTGTGTTTCTAGAAATGCTGTGGACAAATTGAAGTTTTCATCTTGTATGTTAATGTGACCCTTTGGGCAGATTTTTTTTCGTCCTTTAGTCGTAAGATAGTATGCTTCTCTAACTGCTTCTGCATATGTGCGTTGTTTTTGAGCTTCCTTGTTTACTGCGGTTGTTGTAAAGGTCTTTGGATCTTACTGAACCCAGCATAATGCCGCAGGCTCAAGGAGGATATCTAGAATGTGATGTGGGCTTAACTGCTTAAGTGAATGTAGAGATTGTACATTCATTCAAGTATATAATTGAGAAACAACAAAAACTTTAAATTGTTGAATTACTTCTTTTACATAATACAAACATGGGGTTTTGGCTTTTCCTTTCTTCCAAAAGAATTATATGCACATATTACTCACATTTGTGGATGCAGGTTTTGTTGGACAAGTTTCTGTCACACTGCCAGTGGCCCAGTAGGGCTTGCAACCTTGTTGATGCACTCCTTCCAGCTGATAGAATTTAAGTTTTGATTCTTCCAGTCCTCATGCAGCGTTGTGTAGAGGAAGGTCGAGTTTGCCACTATGCATCCTGGATGGTATTTTCTGCAGTGAAGAAATGGAGATAGAAAGTAGGCACACAGCACCTCGATTTGGCACATAATTATTATTTCCTAGTCAAGTGACATTTTTGCATACATACATCTTCATTTCTTGATTACTGGAGTGATAGATGACTGGATTTGTTCCTTGGCCCTCGTCGATTAAACAGGATGAGCTATTACCCCCAGGTAGCCATGCCATTAAAGCACCCTGAACACAGCACACACACCAAAAAAAAAATCGAGATATCCAGGGTGCTCATATGTACTACTCTTAAACGTCATGAACTACCGATAAGATGACATTGTACTCTCTAAAACGGTTATCTCCCAGTTAGGTTTCATCTCTTCCTGATTTATTTTTGATCTTCTTGTCTGATTGTAATGACCAATAGAAAATTGACGCCTTTTTAATCCCTATAATTCCCTTCTGGGGACGTATGAAAACTCATCTGTTCCAGACTTGCACTCCTTCTGAGATATTGGAACACTTCTGCCAGCCTGTGCATAATCCTTTGTGGAGAGAGAGAGAGAGAGAGAGAGGGGGGGGGGGGGNTGCAACCTGTTGAGGTGTGGCCCTGTCCTTGCATTCAGCTCCAGGAGTAACCATGCTTGGCTTAAGGAGAATACCTTCAAACATGACATTATTTTCTGCCAAGTAAAAGAAAACCTCAGCCCAAACCTTCTGGGCAACTTCAAAAGTCCTCTCAATTCCATGTTCACCATCAAGCAAGATTTCTGGCTCTACAATTGGGACCAACCCATTATCCTGGAAAATCAAATCACAAATTGTTCTCATATCAACATTTTCTGGTAGAAAAAATAGTAACAGTTTCATTGATTCTTTTACAAGGTAGCTTTTATCTGCTTACTTGAGAGATGCTGGCATAGCGAGCGAGACCCCAGGCAGCTTCTTTCACAGCCAAGGCAGATGGGCCGTTAGGAATGCTCACGACGGTACGCCTGATTGATGATTGATGAAAAATCCAGTACGTACAACAGATCAATAAATTATGTTACTGTTTGTGAAAATATTGGTAGCTTGCAGAGTCTAGTTGTTACCATTTGGCAAAACGAGCACCCTGTTGGTAGTAAGCAGCTGTGCGGGAAGCAAGGCCATCAAGACCTTGGCACCAGGACTCATTATTTGAACCAGTTAGGGGCACCAAACCCTGTTTTGCTCAAGGTCCAAAGCCACATGTTAATATTGCTCGCCTCATATTTACATACACACATGCAAATATATACGAGGGTGACAATTTTTTATACAACTTGTAATATGACTCGAACTCAACAGAACACGAACTGGACAAAGATATGACCCACTTACAAAAATAATAATAAATAGGTCAAGTTCTTATGAATACGAAAACTTTAGTTTGTATGTAGAAAATGTTTGATTTTCATATTTCTATCCATTATTTATCTAGTTTTGTGTATTTTTTTTTTTACTTGGATATGGATCAAATTTCATATGTATGATTTAGTTCGTTAAGAGAAAAAGGAGCCTTAATTCTTATATCTTTTCATGTTAATCTGAACATGTCACGACCCAAACAAATAGAATATAACACGCACGACTCGACACTACTGCATAAGCATAAACAAATACATATGCTCCTAGGTATATACTGTATGTGCATATATGTAAGCACATATTTTTGGGGACAGTGGTGTACCTTATCAACTTTGATGCCAGGGACAATGCCCTGCTCAACAAGCACATCAACTATTTTCTTGCCATCAACGGTGGATTGATAGAGAGTCTCCTCAAAAAGGATGGCACCGGAGATGTATTGGCCTAGGCCAGGAGCTGTCACGAGGAGTGTCCGGTAAGCCTGACGGTTAGCTTCGGTGTTCTCGAGCCCGATCGAAGCCAGACGTTTCCCACAGGTTGCGTTCGACTCGTCCATGGCCAGAATTCCACGCCCTGGTGAAGCCACAGTTTTCTGTACCCATGTAATGAGACCTTCTTATCAGAATCCTATGCACTTGAGCTTAAATTATGAGCTTCCAGTGAAATGTATGCAGTGTGTCCTTATGCTTCTGTCTTTTTTATTATTAGCCATAAAATATGAACAATATAGAGGCATAAGATGGGCCGGGTTGGTCCGGCACAAGCAGAACTAGCCATGTCGGCCCAGACAAGGGCACAACCCTCGTGCCATGTTGGGCCTGCCCGACCTATCAATGCTACCACGACATGGGCTCATTTCAAGGACGAGCATGACCCAAGGATGGCACCGTGCAAACCCAGGGACCAGTACAAGGATCCTTGGCACGTTATAATATTTATGTCATATCAGTACTTAATCAACAGGACTTTGCCCCTAAAGTCGTGTGTTTGGTTTGGTAATTTTGTAAATCAGATGCTTCAAACTTGTAGTTGACTCCTAGTTGGAATTTTATTATGGCAGGAACTGTGATGAAGTAGTGTATGAGAGAAATTTAAAAAACTGTCAGATTCATATGTGCTACAGTAAAGTCATGCATTATCACAAGTACTATCAATAAACATAGTTGACCAATCTCTATGATTGTCGGCTTAGAGTTAATAATCAAATCGAGTTCTACGGCTTTCAATCGAGTTTGTCGAGCTTGTTTTTTAAACAAGCTTAACCCCGAGTAAAATGAGTCGGACTTGAGCCAAGTTGAAATATTTTGAATATTTTATATATAAACGAGTTGAATTTTTCAAGTTCGAACCAATTATTTTTAGGTTATTTTTTAAAAAATTATTTAATTTCAACTCATTTAAAGCACGAGTCAAATTCAAATATCTCGGCTCAACTATCAACCTGTTATGAACATCGAAAGAGATATGAACATACCGCTGTCTTGATAAGCTCATCGGCATAGGAAGAGGCAGCCCGGACCGTAAGGGTCGAGGGGGCGGTGGGGTGGCACCGGACAACCGAGACGGACGGTTGGCGAAGGGTCTGGCCCTTCACCCACTCGGACTTGTCAAGAACAGGAGATGACTTGAGGAGAGATGCTGAGGCCATTAGAGCAGAGCAGCCCACGCTTTACTATCTTATCTCCTCTCACAAGCTCTGTCCCTCTTTACCACACATGCAATGGTCTGTCACTCAGTACTATATATTTATAATTGTAAAGTATTATCAGAGATGTCTCATTTGAGGCTGTTATGCCTCCACCAATGGTGGGTTGCCACGTGGATGATATGTTTTTGCCTATTTGGCATATGAGAGAAGTGGTTGAAATAGATGGAAATCTTCCGGGCTCGTAAAAATTAGGGTTAATCTTATTTTGTACATTAAAAGATTGTTCAACTTTTAATTTATACTCTCAAAGATTAAAAATTTTAATTGACACCCTTAAAGATAGAAATTTGTATTAATGTGCATCCCCAAAAATAAAAAATCTCAATTTGTACCTTCAAAGATAAAAATTTGTATCAATATGTACCTAAAATTAAATTAATAAATTATACCTAGATCTCCTCATGTTTGTCACTTAATCATTTAAACTCTTTCACATTTAAAATATTTTCCTTACATCTCATGACGTTTGTGCATGTGTAACACATAACCACTTTTCCTTAATATCTGTTAATATAATCGTTAAAAAATATGATTTTATCATAATAAAAAATTATAATTTCATATTATCTTTTATTTTGTAGATTCGATATACTCTAAAGTTAAAAATCAAGTTTACCATTTGAATGTCTAATAAAATGTAGATATTTATATAAAAGGTAATATGAAAAATATTATATAAATATTTACATTTTATTAGACATTCAAATAGTAAACTAGATTTTGAACTTTAGAATATATTGAACCCATAAAATAAAGGGTAATATGAAATTATAATTTTTTATTAGGATAAAATTATATTTTTTAACGGTTATATTAATAGATATCAATGAAAATGTGTTATGTGTTATACGTGCACAAATGTTATAAAATGTAAGAGTAATATTCTAAATGTGAAGAGGTCTAGATGATTAAGTGACAAGTATGAGGGGATATAGTTATAATTTATCAATTTAGTTTTAGGTGCACATTGATACAAATTTCTATTTTTGAGGGTGCAAATTGAGATTTTTTATCTTTGGGGTGCACATTGATATAAATTTCTATTTTTGAGGGTGCAAATTGATATTTTTTATCTTTGAGTGTGCACATTGATACAAATTTTTATCTTTGAGGGTGTAAATTGAGATTTTTGATCTTTGAGGGTACAAATTGAGATTCGAACAATTTTTCGGGGTGTAAAATGAGATTAACCCTAAAAATTAAGTAATAAATGAAATGAAGCAGTGAAAAACCAAGAGATTTCCTTTCATGTTAGAGGAATGGACAAAGGCGTCACACTCACTTATGGTAGTTTGAGAGATTCTACTATAAGTAAATTTGAGGCTGTGATCCCTCTGATTTGTTAACGGCCATGGTTTAATTCCAGGATTTTGATGTGATTGCTCCAACGGACCCGTCCATTCATGCCACATTGATCATAATAGCATTCATTTGAAAGGGTGAGATCTCTTCTGATATGTTTGTCATATTTTGTAGATTACTCACTTTGAATTCATGTAAAACTCATTATTTATAAATGAACCTATCAACCGTACATGGTGGGTGATATGCGTGGAGATCTGGATCTGCATTTGAGGGCATCCAAATTTCCACCACTTAAATTTAACACCCAGTGTAAATCTCTTTTATCATCTCAATGCACGTCTGCATATCAAATATTGGGTCAAAAAAGGCCATGATTGATCATTTTCTACCTCTAAACAAGCAGATGGCATGCATCCATACCCTATATAAAGACATATCAGACTTTATTTCATTGCCACCCAAACACACCAATAATACTATAATAAAACCAAAATAATTTGAGTTGTTTGTACTACACATATTTTCATATGCACTTCAAGATGCTAGCACTAACAAAATCCTCAACCAGAAATTTGATTCAATGACAGTTCTGTAATGCCTGCAATGAGATCATCTATTGACTCAACTTTTAAACCTTTCCACACTCCAGAATCATCAAAAGCTGAAGGTATTGGCTCTAAGGAACTCTCTGCAATGGCTTTGTTCAACTGCGTGATGAGTTCATCCTCCTCATCTGGAATGTCTAAATCCCAAACCTTGAAGATATCCTCATTTGATGGCTCGCTCGCCAATCCTGGAAATCCAAAATCCACCTCAGAATTGGTTGTTCTAATTTCCCTCAGATCCTCATTGTAGGTTGGAAGAAAAACATTTTCTAAGTTAATTGTCGACGGGGAAGTATCAGTCTTCCTGTTGATTAGATGATCATCACTGTTCTCTTCAACCTCTCCATTGGTTTGAACAATCATATCAGCAATTCTTTGCAGGTTCGGTGAAGTTTTTGTTCCTTCACTGGATGGAAGAATCTCTACATCAGTTGCTTGAGGAGAACCATCTTTTCCGGTGGTGGAAGACTCAAGTGAATCAGGTTTGGAACTGATAGTCGCTAATAAAGCATCTTTCAGGGAATTCCAGTCTCCATCTGATATTTCAAGCTGTTTGATCAGGCAGGAATCTGCCCACGCTACATCTTCTGGGAAAATCACAATTTCACTCTGTTCAAACTCGACAGAATCAAGACTAAGAGAAGAAATAGAACCTTCTGCCATGTTATCTCTCAAGGCCATGGCTAAAGAAACGTAATGTATTATTGGCGCCTACCCTGAATACAATACACGCATTAGTCCTAAGTAAAAAGAGCTCAGAATCATCAATTCGAGATAGAATTTATTGGCTTGTAACAATAATGGCTGGTTTTGTCCATGTCTCAAAGCACATGCAAATGGAAAAGCATATTTTCTTCCTACTATAATACTAGTATCAGTCTTACCAACTACAAGTGAGAAGTTGCTTTCAAAGGTTCTGAAACTTAAATTGGCTCATGCAGCTAAAGGAGTAAGATCTGCAGAGCATCAAACCAGAACCAAGAGGTGCAATCATCTAATGTCAAAATGTTGCAATTGATTGCCCAACTTTTCTTTCCCTAAGCACGCCTAGCACAAATCTTTTAGGAATGACATATAAAAATACAGAGACAGAACCCACTACAACGGGGTGAACCTCCTAAGAGGCAAGACCCTTTCAACCTGATTCTTCCTTTTATATTTCATTCAACAGAAACTATCTACACATGGTTTCAGACAATCAAAGAGATCCCACCTAGTCCTAATTCCTGGGACTCATTCTACATGTTCAAAACTACCATCATTCATCGTTAAATCATTCAAAGAATGACAACACAAGTATGATTCTAAATAAACATACCAGCCACAATAACATAGGGCCTATAAGTACATATCAGACTTAGTATCTTCATGCTCATTCAGGATTGTTTTGGGATCATTAAGGAGACTAATAAGACAGGAACTACAGAACCCTTCCGCCACCCCAATCCAACTGTATTCTTCCTTCGGCAAACAATACAAGGTTAAGCCTCACAATAGAAGCTATCATACTCGTCATTGAAATCTGGTTCCCATGAATTTCCAACCCTATTTATCCTACCAAACTGACCACCTTAATTTTAGAGATTAAGACGGCTAGTCGTGACTAGCCACCCCAAATAGTAGTCTAATATCTAAGTTCGTGTTAAATCTGGGAATGCAGACAATAATAGCAAAATAATCGCACAAGTTAGGTATGTTTCTTCTGGCTAAACAAACCAATCTATACATAATATATAGCAATTTAGTTTGCTTGGATGAGCTCCAAAACTCCATCCCAATTTTATTGAATTTTTTATTTTTTAAATTATCAAATTTGATTTGGCGTTACGTCATTGGCCATTTTTGAATAACTTAATTCGTAACTAATAGGATGATTCCTAAAATCTCTCAGATGTCCCAAGTTTTTTCTCCCATCATCTCTTCCTTGTCTGTCTCTCTCACACACATTCTATCTCCCCTCTTACTATAGCAATTAATTTAGAAGAGAGAGTGCTTATGAAACTTCCCTCATCAAGTATTAGATTTTTTAATTTTAAAGTATTTCATAACAATGCACTGATATCAACAAATTAAATTAGTCCATGTGGCTTATGTAACTATTCCACAAAACTAATTTATTTCATCATCCTTAATTTAGCACAATAATGGATAATTTTTCAAAAATACTTAGGTTGGGGTGGGATGAGGGGTGGAAATTGAGAGTGGGGTAGGAGTGGTAGGATTGAGATGAGAGAGATCGAATATAGCGTGCATTGCACGGAACGCCGTTTGTTGTCAAGATGAAGAAGTTCTGAAGTCACCCTGATCATCAACTCAAAAACAAGTAAATTATACAGTTTGATTCATTCCTTACATTTTAAACATAAAACACACACACAGAGCTTCTACACTATCTCGATAGGATTAAATTGAATCGTACATTTGATCATATATGTAGGCCATTCTGGGAAAAAACAGTAGGGGTTTAATTGCTTAGAACACCAATCGTAGCTGTGAGTGCGTAAGAGAAAGAAGAAGAACAAGCGTACCTTTCGCTGTCGCAGTTCAAACCCTAGTTTACGTGAGCAGCTTGTAGCCCTTATTTTGCTGATAAGAAGGAATAATTTCTTCATTGGGTCTACCAAGTACCAAGGTGCTTAAAGAAGGAATTAAAAGGAGAAGACCCAGAAGAGGGATAACGAAGAAACGACACCGTCTTGCTATCGCAAATACTAAATTAGAACAACAAAAAATAAATTTCCGTTGCCGGGACTTGAACCCGGGTCTCTCGGGTGAGAGCCGAGTATCCTAACCACCTAGACTACAACGGATTTGCTAAGCCAGATCAGCTTATCAATTATTTAACCATTATATGATACTTCAAATTTCATTCATAATTTATGTTGGTTTCAGATACCAAAGGGAGAGGTAGAGAGAACAATTATGGAAAATACTTTAAATCTCAAATGAGTAGGGGCCTTTTGAGCCTTTCTCCGCTATTTGAATAATTTTGTTTGCATCTTTTGAAATATGCTCTTTGGAGAGCCAAATCCAATTTACAAGAATTTTTTGTTCCAATTCTGAAACCAGATATAATAGTTGAATAATTTTGTTTGCATCTTTTGAAATATGCTCTTTGGAGAGCCAAATCCAATTTACAAGAATTTTTTGTTCCAATTCTGAAACCAGATATAATAGTTGAATAATTTTGTTTGCATCTTTTGAAATATGCTCTTTGGAGAGCCAAATCCAATTTACAAGAATTTTTTGTTCCAATTCTGAAACCAGATATAATAGTTAGTTGGTTTAAAACGACTGGAGACGAGACGGACCAGCTGCCTGAGAATGAAGAGGTTTTAAGGATCTGCATCCTTCAAGAGTTGCAATAGGCTGAGATTCATCCAACCAAGAATTATTACAAATTCAAAATTTAGGAATCGAGTTGACATCGAATAGCTTGAGACTCTTGTTAGTGCAGCGTATAGAGAAGTCTACTGTTCACAGTCTTATCTTCTCATACTGCGACAAATCTCATGACTTGGACCTCTCAATTTTGACCTTAGTGATCCTCCTATGGGTTTTCGGTCTCACATTTGGGAACGAATTGCAGATACAAATGCAAGGACACTACAATCTTTTGCCAACTGGCAAGCCTTTCTTCAACTGAATTGCTTAGGGCAAAAAACGTGCACACCAAATTTCTTAAGACTAATTGATATGGAATAATCATAAGCGATGGGTGTTTGGTGGGAATTAGAAAGACCAATTAATCCAACCACCGACATTAATTTGACAAAAAACATTGGCGAGCACAAAGAGGGCAGCTTTTGCCAGTGTCACAAGGCAAACCCTGTCAACCATGTTTTCTAAATACCATTTCACTTTCGGTATCAAAGATTGTGTCTCGAAACAGCTTATCACGTCCATCAATAAGCTCTGAGGAAAAAAGCACTCATCCGAGCCAAAAACTTCTCAGTTCAACCATTGATCAAAGGCTCCCACCTAGAGTTTGTTTATGATAGCCTTACGGTGGCATAAATAGAGTGCAAGAAAAGTAAACAGAGCTTAGCCTGCTCTTGATATAGATCCCAAAAAATTAACCAAGCTCAATCCAAATCCGAGTGACACACCTCTGTCAATGTCTTCAAAGGTACAATACGCCTGCAACATTCGAATATACCCTACTTCAAATACATCCAGACCATATCAACTTTTAAACAATAATGCTCCAAATCTCATACAGCATACGCCAAGTAATAAAACAACTCGATGCCTATCAAGTTTCAATCTTTAATCATTCCAAAAACAGAATCAATAATCTCAACAAAAAAGCGGAATAAGTAATAATATTACCATTCAAGATAGTCTTAGCCAACTGTTTCAGCCATCAGTATCTCCTTGGAAAACGGTCCATAAACCTTCCAGATGGACACTCGTATGCCTGGTGTCCTCTGCCTCCACAATTGTGACAGATCATCAAGGTCATGCAATCTCGGCTCATGTGACCCACCTGCTGGCAGTTCCGACATACAATGTCCCGGAAAAAACCACCACCACCACCACGACCTCCACCTCCCATTCCCCTGTGTTCGACAATATTGGTCTTTGGGCATTCCCTGGCCACATGACCAGATATATTACACAAGTTGCAGACGGGATCATTCTGACAGTCACGTGCCAGGTGACCGGTCTTCCTGCAGTTCTTGCATGCCTTTTCATTTGTACAGTCCGCAGCTATATGGCCTTGCTTGAAGCAGTTGTTGCACAGCCTTAGGTCACCAGGTGGCAGTTGAGGAGCTGTGCAGTCTCTAGCACGGTGTCCCGCCTTGCCACAGGTGTGGCAAATGCCCTCATTTGGGCAATTGCCGGCCATGTGACCAGGTTCTCGACAGTTCCAACATAGTGATTTTGTAGTGCATTCTGATGCAAAATGCCTGATTTATATTTTCCAATGTGCATGCAAGAAGAAAATGTCAGGGGTGATGACATGCTGAAATAATAATAATTTCAGGCACAATATACAAACAGCTTTACCCTGGTGGAAAAAAAAAACTAAAGCACCAAAATTTGCAAGTTTCATTCCCAGGGTAAAGAGGGTTATACATAAGCTACACATACTGTATTGAGTTTCAATTAACATATTTCAATCACAGACAGAAATAAGGAAAAAGCAAAGGAGAGACTGGATCTCCTATAACAGAATAATTATTGAATTACTTCAACAGACGTATCTATCAAACTTGCACAAAGTGCTTCATGTGAGGTCGGAAATTCACAAGAAGTTATCCAAAATGCTGCATTGACAAAATATATTCCGGCTCTTTGGCAGAAAGGACATTAGATTTCTATTGGTAGCATATATGACTTTAACAGAATACCCAGGAGATAACTCATCCAAAAGAATGCACAAATAAAGACTTCAGACTGATTTCCTAGTTTAAAAAACTGTGAAAAATCACCCATCCTCTATTGAATGCACTGGAGTCAGCTAGGAACCAGTTGCGTTTCCAATGTTTGATGGTGCACACTTCAATATTCAGAGGAATATGATACACATTTCAATAGGCAATGGGGCCCAGGCCCCTAAAAACCAAACCTATCCCTCATGCTTAAAGTTACACATTCCAGTTACCAGAACCACTACTACACTCTAGTTAGCAAACACAAATTAAGGAAATTACGGGTGAATAAATTCAAAAAATACAGTGTGTGTGAAAAGAAAAATCAAAAGTTTTAAAATCCCAAGCTGCATTTCAAGTCCTTTTGAGTTATTTAAGAACATGAGGGCTAGCAATCAGTAAACCACCATGATGAATGTTGTAACTTGCTATCATAACACCACCACCATCATCATTGCCACCATAATCATCATCGCTGCCTCTACCCCCACCACCATCACCATACTAGCACCATTGATGCTTTTATTATAATTCCATAGTTGTGGCCAATGCTGCTGCTAAAACCACAAACAACACCAACATAAGGACCCAATACTATTGCCACTACTATAACCTTCACAATGCCACCATTGACATGGTATTGACATCAATATTGCCACTACCACTCGGTAACTGGAAAGTTGCCAGCTACAAACAACACCTTCCACCTTATCACTTTGTTGATGCTACCACCTTCACCATAATACTCTTTGAATCATCATGACAACATATGCTACGTTATAACTCAACAATTTATGAAGATTTAGTAACACATTCAATCAGTGAATTTTGAAAAACAGGGAGATTTATTTCCCTTCAATTTCAAATACTTTCATTCAAAATGTCCTCAATAACTAAAAATTCCTCGTTCAAATGAACTGCAAATGAAATACTAATGCTAAGTTTTTTGCAATTACCATAGGTCAAACATATGTCGAACTAACAAAGAGTGAATCGCAACTTCTCTTACCCAGGAAGACCGCAATTGTGACAAACTGATATGCTGAAGCATTCTTTAGCATAATGACCTGGCCTTCCACAGTTATTGCATAGATTGCTCTGGCTGAAACAAAACACAATACAATAGTGAATTTTCTGCAATAATACACCACCCAAAGCAAAAAAGTAACAAAAAAAATTATCCTATAAGTAAAATCTTGCAAATTGATTATTCAGGATGCTGCAGTGCAGCAGGGGGGAAGGAAAGGACGGCATCAGCAAAAAATATAGCTGCTAATCACAAAGACAGCCTGAGCCCAACCCACCTTTAACCGACACACAATGGGGAGAGACAGAAGTACAAATCCAACCAAAGAAAATAACAAACTAGAGGGTTACGGGGGGTTGCTTAGTGGAAGAATATTCAAAACAGGTGCTTGGTAGAAGAGAGTTCACAAGCAGTTTCCTGGTAATTTTTTTTCCAAAAATAAAGGGCATGAGAAACATGCCTAGCTCTGAAACAATATCTAAGAACACGGTAGCTTTCACTTCGGTAAGTTGAAAGATTTGGACACAATCTAAGAAAGACACATAATAAGTTTGTTTATTGCCCAGAATGTATAGTACATACAAACTATCAATTTTCCTTGTAAAGTTCCTAGGTACAATTTGCGGCCAAAATAGTGTTTAATATGTTAAATATCATTTATTAAAATCATGAAAAATTCATATCTGTCTATGTCCATAACTTGTGGAACTTTCAAACGGTACATATTTTGCTAAAAACACAAAAGAAGGAAATAAAAAAATGTCAATGTCGAACCAGCACGTGGAAATTGTGATTTAAAACAACATAAACATAGCAATATACAATAGCTTGTTAAAAACAATAAACAAAACTATGAGAGTTAAATACAAAGATCCTGACCCATTCATACAGAGCATCATTTAAAAAGTAAGATAATAAATGAATTTAGCAGAATGATTATACATGTGTGCCTCTAATCCCCACCAACACGTGGATATGAGAATAGTCAAGTGAAAATTTAAACTAAAAACATATGATTTTGGACAACAAAACCTGAAACCCTGACGCGACTCTCTCCTGTATGGTGCGTCCCGATGGGAAAAGCGTTGAGTACGGATCTTACGATCCAAAGGGCTTCTGCTCCTGCTCCTACTTCGACTCCTGCCGTTTGAACTCATATTCAAAGTAATACCTATTAACACAAACCACCGCTGATCTGTAGAAAAACAAGCACCACCACAACAGCTGCTGCCTCCACCCTGTCCACTACAACCACACACGTGACACACCCAAGACCACATCCATGAGTTCAAAACTTCAAATCGAAACCCCTACATTACCCATTATGCTATTAAACACCGTAACACACATTTCAACAAGCAAACCACCTCACATTAATTACAAATCACTTTGGCCAGCACCAAGGAATTTCTTACTAAAATGAAACCAGTTCTCAACCACCTCCTTGATAAGAATTAGCAGACACCAGTCACACCATTTCCTAGAAGTCTATGCCCTCCAATATAGCCCCTTACCTAAAAACTGCTAGAACAATAGCTGACTCAAACTCCAGCTTCACCATATTTTCTCTCAAATGCAAAACTTTACTACATGTCAGTATCCTCTAACCCATCATATGGATTGAGGTTCCCATTCATCGTTATTAGTTAAAGAAGTTTTACTTAAAGACTCAACCAGATATCAGCAGTTTCATTTCATCTAAAAACAAAACCACTGAAAAAAAGACAAGAAAAAGACAGAAAGACAAAAAAAAACCACTAATCAACACAGCATGAGGTTGATATCTATATTTCCGTGGAACATCATAATCCTTGATCAATTCCCAAGAGATAAATTGTCCCTCCGTATTAAAGTTCCATTTAAAACCTTCATCCACTAAACCAACAAATCCCTATACCCTAGTGGTTGCCAACATATACCTGACTCACCCAAATCTTGAGGAGAGAATGTGAAGAAGAATGGAAGACCACTGTTCTTCCTAGGGAAAAAAATTGCATTAATGTTTGTCCCTCATATTGGCTGTCCTTCAGATGGTGTCTGGGCAACCCATATTGTTCGGTCTATCCTCCAATTACGACCAATTCCCTTTTTACCTCACTGAACCTACAAACATGCGAGCTACAGGCCCTTTGTTCTCTCTCCTATTTCCTCCTCTTCTTCTCCTCACCCACAAGTCAAACACACACTACAGATTTGTCTTCAACAAAAATACAGTAACGTTAACTGATTTTGGTCAAACATAACATCAATTTCTTTGATACTCGACACACACAAAAATACACTAGAAACAACAAAATCAAAAACCCTAATCACCGCTTTGGATCAGAATCTAACAAATTCATACTACAGAACAAATTCAGACTACAGAACTAATACAGATTCGCATGTATATGAAATAATTTTGACATACATCGAATTAAAGTGAAAATACCATCAAATCTAGGGAGAGAGAGAAGGGAAGAGGATCGAACCTTGGTAGAGTTCAAGCAAATGCGGGATGGCGTTAGCGACTCAGTTTCTGAGAGAGAGAAAAAACATGTGGCGGCCGCCGGATCTAACTTGCAGCTAGGGTCTGCCCCATCTAAATGAGTTGGACTGTCGGTTAGTTTTCGGGCTGCCCAGTTGTTATTCTGAAAATAGCCTTCTTAGATTGGGCCTTCTCTGATGTAATTCATGGACTTTCATCACCGCCGGTTAAAGGGCATAATGGGTAGGGCAGGAAGTGAATCTGACATGTTCATGAAGAGCTTTTATATTCTTAGTAAAGGGCCCAACCTGGAACCAAGGGGTCCAACCCTGCCCCTTTCCCTCCAACGGTAAGATAAATAAAAAATTATATATACCACAAAAAATCATACCCCATCCTCTCCCCCCAAAAAAATACAAGGCTCAGTTAGAGAAAGCACATAAACATACCCTTAATCTGAACTTACATGTGAGGGATGCATGCCTTCTTGCAAGTGCTGCCCAGTTAAAGCATTCCAGCGTTGTAAGTGATTGCCTCGAGGCTATCAAACTTTCCTTAAATGAAGATGACCCTTCGTGAAAACTCGATGCTCTTGTGGCGGAAATCAGATTTTTTGTCAGTCATTTTAATCTTTGTTTTTTATACAAGTCAAGAGCGCTTAATAAGAGTGCTCAGTGGGTGGCGACTACAACGATGATTGATTCGCTTGCTGCGAAATGAGTCAACTATCCCCCAACGAGTTCATGACTTTGTTTGTTATTGACTGTAATTATTACTTCCTTACATGAATAAAATTTTACACTCTTTTGATAAAAAAAAACAAAGCTCATATGTGACCTTCATTAAAATAAGGATAAATTACATCTATCTTCCTTGAGATTTATCCTTATAATAATCAGACCCCCTCAGGTTAGACATATAACACTGCCCTCCCCCTCTAACCGCCGACTGTTTGTTTAAGTGGATGATAAATGTACAAAGACGAGAATGTCCTTCATGGTGATATATATGTACACTAGTCATAACCCGTACCTGAAGGCACGATAAAATATAAAATTTAAGCGTTCAAAAAATCGATCCCATTATATTAAATTTTTTTAAAATATACTAACTACAAATTAATCAAATATTAAATAATTAAATATATGATAGAAATGCGTGATGCGATACTTTTAGGGAGAAAATATATAAATGATTAAACATGTGATAAAAATGAGTAATGTGATTTGACGTTTGAGTCTGACAAAAAAATGATGGGTGAAGTAAGTGATTGACGATAATTTTGAGGGAAAAAATATGATTGAGATAAAATTCAAACACACTTCTGTTTTATTATATAGATTGGCACCAAACACCCTATCCTATAAGACATTACCAATTAGGCAATTACCCTTCTGAATGCATGACCACATAATGGGCTACATGGGTAAGGGGTATATGATTAATTGCCCGTGAGAAATTATTTTGTTTTCTTTTTAGCCTTGTGAGCAACAACTTTTTATATATAATTCAACTGATGAACAAAAATGCTGCAAACACTACAATAATACCCCAACAAAATAAATTATAAAAATTCCCTCTCCCTATTCTCTTGGCTACTGGTAGGTGTTTGTCAATGAATCAGGTTTTAATTCGAATTCGATTAGCCGGATATAGATTAATATTTTTTACCGTTAATCCATAACTAAATTCAAATCCGATACATTATATTTAACAGATTTGAATTTAGATATACATATATCTAATTCGATCCGAATTATTTATATATTTTTATATAAAATTTAAAAAAATTAAGTGATTATTTAAAAAATTAGTTGAAATTTATGTATAAGTTGTTAAAAATTAGTTAATTAAGTTATTCATATTGAATCGAATTTTCGAATTGTTAACGAATTTGAATATAGATCACAAAAATAAAATTCGTTGGATTATCGAATCGAATTTGGATCCAAATCAGTCAGACTTCGATCAAAACCCGATCCATTCACACGCTTAGCTACTGCTAACACAATTTCACACACAAATGGTTTTTATATAGCAATTGTTTGTGCAAACTAGCCGTTGGATAAAATAGTCGTTGTCCACTTCCAACTGAGCCCCCTATCAAGGCTATTTTCAGAATTTTCAAAGAATAGTTTGCTTACATAAGTAAACTATTCACTCACATTGACATAGTGAAGTCGGTATGGAGGAATATGAAAGGGACAATTAAAATAGAGATGAGGGCAATGTTATATTTCTAACCTGAGGGGGTCTGGTTGTTATATGGACAAACTTTGAAGGATATGGATGTAATTTATCCTTAATATAATGATCATATTCACTACGGTAAAAAGCTTGACAGTCAAAAGTAGTGTTACCAGAACCGGACCGGATCGGCCGGTCGGACTGGTTCAACCGTGAATCGAGACCCTAACGGGTCCGATTCTGTAGTTGAACTGATTAAGGAAGCCAACCGGTTAAAAACCAAAAAATCGGCCTATTTTTAACAAAAACTTTGAACCATCGGTTTTATAAAAATCGGACGGTTTAATGTCTATTTAAAAATTAAATTACATAAATAAATTTTTTCACCCAAAAATAGCTGATTTTTTTAACCTTTTTCTTGAATAAATTATAAATGACATCTTTTTTTTTTTTTTAAATTTACTTGAACCTCTTTACTTTGCTTTAAAATACAATAACCCCTACTTTGTTATTTAATTTCATTAATTTTATGACAAATTATATATATTTTATATTTTTTAGCTAAATTATTAAGTTTTATAATTATTATATATATTTTTTTATTTTTTTATTATATGATCGGTCTGACTAGTTGATTCAACGATTGAACCAGTGAACCATTGACCAATTCCCCTTGCCGGTTTGATGACCGATTCATTACGATAACATTGGTCAAAAGATGATGTATTGTCATTGTTTTGAAGGGCATTGTGGACATCCAAATTTGGTTGCTAGTAAAATTTTCTACTTATAGAATCTGTCGTATGTACTCTACCTCAGAATATGAATTTGTATATACCACTGTTTTGAAACCCGGCTCGGCCCGGCGAGTTGACCCGGTGAACCGGAGGCTGAGCCAGGCTGGTTTAGTTATTGGATCGTTTGAGCAAAGAAATTGGACAAAACCCGCTGAACTGGCCGGTTTAGTAACAAACCCGTTGAATTGGACAGTTTAAAGCAAATCGGACGAGTTGCTTCAAATACTATAAATACTAGGTTTTGAAGTTAATTGGGCATTTTTTGCCCTAATCGTTTTGCCCAGCCACCAACCATCTCCTGTCTTCTGTTCTGCGCCTCTCTCTTTCTCGTCTGATCTGTCATCTTGATGAGACATTCGAGTTCGAGAAGAGAATCGTTGTTGATGTTGCGGCGGTGGAACACTCGAAGCCTCTCTCGAACTCGAACTCGAACTTGAAGCCGCTGTAGAACTCGAAGCCTTGAGCCTTGGGTAGCTGATGAACTCATAATTTTTCATAATTAGATCCTTGAGCCTGCGCTCCTCAAGGTATTCAAGCTGGTCTTCTTTAAGGTAGAGGATAATCTTAGTGCCTCTGCCCAGAAACTCACCCGATGTGTCTCTGGTTACAGTGAATGACCCATCATCTTGGGACTCCCATAATTATACATCCCTCTCAACAGGTACATCTCTTTCTTGGTAATTTCTCTACTATTTTAGTACTGACTGTATTGTAGATTAACTTGGTAAATTAGTTGATGATACTTGATATTGCATATGAAATTAAGGGAATGAGTTTTGGCTTAATTGTTACTGATTTATCTAATTGACATATGAAATTGGGATTAACTGGGTTTTGACATATGAAATTGGGGTTTTAATCTGTTTGATTAAGAGTTAGGTGGAGGTGAAATTTTATTGCCTAATTGAGCATGAGTTTTAGTTTAATTGTTACTGATTTATCTATTTGATTGAGAATCTATTTGGTGATTTTGAGATTTTTGTTTGATCTAATATATATTAAGCATATTATTTTTATAATTTTTGTGATTTTAAGCATATTTATTATTAATAATAATTTTTATTTATTTTTTCTTTTATTATCAGTTCAACCCATGGCTTAACGATTAAACCAATGACCCACTGCCTCAATCGTTTTCCCTCCCGAATTGACTTTCGAGCCGAATTTTAAAACTATGTTATATACTAACAAGTCTCTCCCTCTAATCTTTTCAACCACAATCAAATTTCGCCTGCATTTAAGATAAAACAGAGGCGTCAAATCAGTATCACAATCTTTTTGATGTAATAAAACAAAACTGATGCCCATGTAGGTAAAAGTATCATACCATGATGAGAGCTGTGATGATGTCTCTCGTAATTTTAATGGTAGTCTCCTTTGTGTCGCTTTTCAAGTTACGTTCCCCGTAAAAAGTCAATAACTCGTCCACCATATCTATATCAACTTCAATACAATTATCTACACAGTTATTATTATTCTTTTTTGTCGTGTATTTATCGATAATCTTGTCGATGAACCCATCAATTGATTTACGAGCATTTGTAAGCCTCTTGTTGAATTCTTGAGCATTAATCCAACCCAAAAATGGAATAAAATCGGCAATATTAAAGGCTCCAAAAAGCTTGGAAAATTCCTATAATATCTTAATAAATTTACAATAATGTTGGACTGATCAAAATTTAAGACCAAATTTAGAACTCAAATGACATGATAGTTGATTTGAACTTTTTTGATTAGTGTCATATCATTTGAGCCTCAATAAAAATTTTAAATAATCAACTACCATGTTAATTAAATTTTATATTTGATCTCAAATTTTGATTAGTGTAGTATTACTCGTAAATTCATGAATATCCTTCGTTTGAAATAGAGCCAAACGCGGCCCCATACGTTATGTTTTTAGTCAAGCCAAACACCAAGTCACCAATATTCACTCGGCTCGTTTCCGGCTGAACATTTTCACGACGGATATTTTACGCATTGGACGCCAAAATGGGCCGCAGTGGGCAAAGGCCATGTCGGCTCGATCATGCGTCAGGTAGGTTATGGCAACAGTTGCGGGCCGATTCGAGAACACATTGTCTTGGGCCTGAAGGATTTCACGGGCTATGTCCGGAGACGACACGGCCACCATGTGTAAGGCTCCCATTTGAAGGTGACACAGTCCACCATACTCCTTGGCTAGCCGGGCTAGCCCGCGGTGGGTCAACTGGTCCATCATGGGCAAGCCTTTTGGGCCCGGTGGGTATGGAGGTTTCCGTCGTAACCAGGCCATCAAAATGGTGAAAAGCAAGAGAGGAAGAAAAAAGTCGAAGAACATTGATAAGGGTTGCAGAGGTTGAACAGAAGTGTTCATGGCTGATGGATGTGTTCCTCGAGCTGTAATGTTGGTGAGTTCATGGATTGTGAGATATGGTTTGTACGTATACTAGGTGTAACCTATGTTTAAAGGTACCGTACAATATAAATAATTTTAAAAAAATTGTTGGTAGTCATTGAACGAGTCTATTTGAAATCGTCGAATAAATTTATTAAAGTCTGTCATATTTTATATTATAAATAATTAATATAATAATGGATTATAAGAATCTATTTGGTACGAGGATTATATAAATAGGGAAATACCATAATTATTTAATTTGATATTGTTAATTACCATTTATGAGCAATTATAGAGAGATCCCCATTGGTATGAATAATTACCTTGCAATTCCTTCTTTGATTATTGATGATAAATCCCTCAAAGTTGGTGTTTCGTTAAAAAAATATTCAATGTAAAGGTGATGCCACATCATCAATGTGACGCGGTATCACCAACTAGTTGGAAAAGTGAGATTCACCAATTTTGTTTGGTGTTTTATTATTAATTAATTATACCATACAAAATCACAACTACCACCCCACAACCATCTCAATCNTGTGTCATTAATAACCTAATATTATTGTTACACTCATTATTATTTACTTGTTGATCACAAAATCACAACTACCACCCCACAACCATCTCAATCTCTAGGCACGGCCACAACCATATTATAATATGCTCATTCAGTTTGATGCATCGATACTTCACGCGCATTGGATTGACCTTATAAATTATTGAGATTTAATTTATTGACTTAATTTATTATAGTCATTGAATTGAATGTGAACTCTATAAAATATTAAAATTTGATTTTAATCCAACGATTACAATAAATTTATATTATTAAATTAACAAATTATATCAAATTTTTAGATTCCAATAACATTACTCATCTTTTACAAAGGACGGGACGACAACTATGGTGAATATCTCCACAGGAGAGATATTGAGAGGGATGTAGAGTAATAATTTACACAAGAGAGGGTGGAATTATTATTTGGATAAATATTAGGGAAGTCCCTTTGATATGGATGTAAAGTACATAAATAATTGAACGCCTACATCGTACGGCGCAACATATATTCTTCAATCTTCATTGACAAATTGAAACTGTTACCAAATAGAAAATCTGTACACAGTTGTCTTAATAAGAGCGATTACGCCAATAACCAATTCCAAAAATATGAAATAAAGCTTTGGTTTGCCACTTTGGAAGCCCCGTGTCGGCATTGCTACAAATAAGGTGTCATTTTTTGACACGATGGATTAACACGATAAGATAAGAAACTAAACAGTTTAAATTTTTTTTAATTCATTTGTTCCGTAAATCAATAAAATTTACAAGACAAGATTAATAAATGAATCGATTAAGATCCAAAACAAATCGATATAAGTGAAATGTTTTTTTATACGAATTCGTGAAGACCCAACACGATTAACAGACTTAACGGTCGGTAAATTTCTCGACCCAAGTATAAAATACTCTCTCTGTTCCTAAATATTTGTCGTTTAATGAAATCAAAACATAATTAATATTATTTTTTTTAAATTTACCCTTAACTTTTCAATAAATTAGATTAGGTGGAGGTTAAATGTCTTTCATATTCCTTCCATTCTCAATATGTATTGAATAAGAGTATTTTAGTATTGTGCAATTATTTTTTACTTATATTAAAACTATTTAATAACCTCCTTAATCCCTGTACAAAAACTTTAAACGACAGATATTTAAGAACGGAGGGAAAAATATAATATGCTAAAATGAATAATAAAAGTATTACGTTAATGTTAAATATAAATAACTCAAGATTAATATGATTAACATGTGTAATTAATATTATATAAATAAAATATCAATTTTTTTTTATCATTGTTAAAATAAGAGGGTTTTTATCCGTACTTAATATTTTGTTGATTTAGTAAAATTTTAGTTTAAAGTTAGTGGTTAATCCGACCACAACATGATAATGAATAAGTTGGATTAATGTCATAACATTTGAATTGATGCAATAAATAAATTAGATTAAAATTGAATAGAGCTTAACATGAACCCAAACTAATAAGGTTCGGGCACGACTCCACACAAACACAATATGATTGAGTGAGTGGTATACAACGTTTAAAAGTTGATGATAAAGCATCAAACTTAGCCGCTTCATTTGTTTCACGTAGCTCGTCTTCTTTGAAACATTTTAGTTGCTTAAAACTCTTTTTTTTTTTTTTTGAGTTTTTCTGAATTGCAAAATCCATAATACCTTCTAGCTCTAATATTATATAGATGTCATAGTTGTGGTTATGTCTTAGTTGTAAGATATTATTAATGATGATTTGGACAACCCAAACTCCATTTCTTCCTATCCCTCACTATTATCTTGAAAAAATGTCATTATAATATTTAATCGACTATGTTACAAGTGTTGAAAATAAACAATTTTTTGTTTTATGGGGATCCATTGAAATGTCTTCAAGTCTCTCTTTACTTTCTCACCAAAAACAAATACCCATCTTCTTCTTCTTTTTCCCAAGTATAATAATCTTATGTTGAGCAATAGTTTAAGGGTATAATGAAAATGAAATCTACTAAACGGTAGAAATGACTCAATTATATAGAAAGATCCTTCAATTTTATTGAGAATCCTTCAATTACTTGGGATTGAACAACCCAAAGTTGATTTCATCCTTCCCCTCGTTATACATTAAAAAATAATGTCATTCCAATACTTATTCGATTATGTTACAATAGTTTTGGCATTATACTATTTTAGGGAGCATTTTTAATAGAAAAGTTTAAATAAAGTGTGAAATATTTTTAGCAATTCTAAGAAGATTCTCTATTTTAGTATCAAAATAGCCGTTATAATCTCGTATAAATAGAAAGTCTATTAGAGATAAAAAAAAA